GCATAGTCTGAATACAAATGATTACAAATAAGGTTACAAAGAATTTACAAAGGGGAATAAATATATATGCCACGTCCCAATACTATTCTATAAAAGTTTGAACTTTTTTGTAAAGCAAAAGTATATACTTTGAGTATGTAACAGAAGACTATGCAAGCTTAGGGACATATTACTTTCTTCTTAACAGATCATTATATTGCTTAGTTACATCCCCTGTCAATTATCTCAACACATCATCCACATTTCTTTCATATTTAATTACTGGAGAAGCAGCAGTAGGATAATCTGCCATTTGCAAGTCTTTCATGCAGAGCAAACTCCTGAGGTCTTTGAGTAATTATGCGTGTAAAGTTAATGTCCAAATATATCTTATAAGAAGTAAGTTAAGTATTGTTGTTGCAGATGAAATATAACACTGTTAAAACGTTGTTTGAACATGTTCCAGTGGGCAAGATATTAATATTTTCATTCAAACAACTTTACTAAAGCCTCTCTACTTGATGGATGGTTTCACGTGTCCGCCATGTTTGTAGTTTGTTTACACTTTTTCTTACCCAAGCTTGTAGTTCTAAACAAATTCACATCCATCATGCAATGTACTGTGGCCAATATTAGCGGTTAAAGTATGAAAGCTTCTACACTTTGAGTTTTTTTTTTTTTTGGAAATAGTAAACCATCCAGGAACTTTGGCATACTATTTTCAACATACTAATTCTATTTTCAAATACTATTTAGGATGGATAGTATACATGTTGGGACACAGCACTAGGCTCCCATCCAGTTTGGCAAGATCTTCCAAAAATACAGCCCTTATGGTTCAAATGTTATTAGCAAAATGTCACAAACGTTGGCTGCACTACGGACACTGAGATAGAGATTTAAAATCTGCTGTGATTGATATTCAGACTGTCCCCTATCTGTGTGCCAAATCTCACAATGTCACAATGTTGCCATGTGGTTCTGCCTAAAGCGGCAGGCTCAAAACTATAGCAACGATTGTATTTTTTTCACTTGCTATTGTAGGTTTACCAAAGTTTACAGTATATAAGAGGCCAACTATGTAAAGGTGATTCATGATGTGGTAAAGTACAGTCTGCTGTTTTTTTCCGACTTGCATGTTATTAGCCGCACACTTGATATCTGTTATTTCTAAGACTGCGTGTATCTAAACTTTCTTTATGCACTTCCTCTACCACTTTCTCCTCATCCTTTCTATTGTGTCTTACTCTCTTTCTCTCACTCTCCTTGTAGCCAAGAAACTGTGACTTGGAAGAGTAGGAACAGGCAGGGCTTCTGAAAGGGTGGTGACTTCCTTTTGGATAAACATGTCATTAATCCAAGAGCACACATTCTTTCCCATCACAAGATAACCAAGAGGGAAACAGATCATGCTCTTACGTAGCCAGGTCCTGTAGATCTCTGTTTCTGGATGAGCGCCTTGTCTCTGCAGAGGTGACACATCGTCTTCCCAACCCACCACAGCTTACTTTCTTTTTCACTTACTCCTTTGTACGTTTTGACTGATTGGAAAAAGAGTAATTATAACACAACATCATTGTGATTAGACCAGTCTAAGGCATTCCTGTTGATGTTTCCATCATTTGAAGTATTTTCCAATTCAAAAATGACTAAAATGAATGAAGTTTCACCCCAAATTGTGCATCCTTGCACTGTAAAAATTATATGATCAATTAGTCATGACAGCATATGTTTTTAGGTCATTGTATCTTATTACTAAGTTAATCATTTTCTAACTTAATTTTCTAAGTTACACACGCTGTTTTAAGTCAGTTTTATATAATATAAGTTCAGTGGACTCATACAGTTAATTTGATTCAGCTTTAAAATTTAAGGCAACCAGGATTTTTTTTTAATTGAATGCTTTCCAAATTGGCATTTAAACTGAAGGTTTGATGAATACCTAAACCTCTTTTTGTATAAAGCAGACAGTGTTTTACAGTACTGTTTTGGCTTGGTGTCAATAAGAGTTCAGTTCATCACTTGTGACCGCTTGTGTTTGAATTTGTGCTCAAGGAATGTGATTGTGGTTATTGTTTTTCACAAAGCAATTTTATTTAAATGTGTTTTAGACTGATTCCAGAAGTGGTTGAAAGCCCAAAATATTTCAGACCCTATTTAACCAGAGTTTAGTGTCATTCACTATAAATTGGATTGACAAAAATGCATCGTAATACTAATTGTAAATTGAATTACCACAGGGTCTCAATTTGATTTTACATCATGTTTACACCTCAGCAACATTTTGTATTTGAAAAGCCAAGGTTCCCATGTTTTGCAAAAAAATGTGATTAATTATTCTTGAAGGCAATGAATATTGTAGACAACAGTGCTTAAAGGAAAAATCTATTTCATAAATGATTTAAACACAGTTGTGTCCCAGCAGTATGTGGATATAGGGATGCAGTGGATTTCGCTCTTAAAATTTATTCCAGGAAGGATAAATGTTTATCCTTTTTCTCATTACTTTATTTATATGATTATTTGAATCAGTTTTCAATCTTTGAAATAACTTTGACTTATGAGTTAAGTTAATTTAATCATTACTAAACATAATAACCCCTTCAAGTTTTATCCCCCAGAATGTTTCCAAGCGTCTTACAATCGCTAGCTTCTAATGGCACAGATTAGGTAATTATATTTTTATAATTTCATAAACTTCTTAAACTTTTACTCCCTTTTATAAGTGTCATCAGAGGGCGTAAGCCCTGTCTGTGACCGCTGTAGTTATTGTAGTTACATTATTTTAGGGTATTTATCTTCAGGAAATCACTGAAGACATATCATGTTATTATAAAGAGATAATGTGGCAATAAGATTAAAGATAACTATACTGTGCATTTACACCATGGCCATATGTAAACAAAAAACAACAACATTAACATTATAGAGACACCGTAAAAAGGTCATTTCCAACCCAATAGACTTTTCTGACAGGGTATTCAAGTGTCATTGAGTGTGAGAATGTTGTGGGACTGCTATACATGAGTTATTATTAAGGATTATAGATATTGTAATTTAGCAGTTTTTATTTTAGCATTTTTTTTAAGCATGATAGTAAAACTCAAACGTGGTTATGAATCTTTTTAAACATGTACTTATTTGTTGTAAAAATTTGTAATGATGGCAAAGAATACTATTTTCTGCATCTCCTTACTTCCGGGTGAAGCTATGCTGCAGTTGTGGCTGGTGTACTCTGGGAAATTTTCTTACCTCTTGGTTTCGAGTGTGGTCCTGAAAAACTAGCCCTTCCCCTTAGCCCTATGCCTTCAAGCTAAAGAGAATTGGGATATCCCTAAGGGGTAGGGGTGTAAGAGGAAGGGCTAAGGCGTAGATTTGGGATTGGGCCTTATTTTACATCAAGTAAGAAGTGGCATAGGTCCCTTTTAAGGCCGTGTCCATACATACATGGGTATTTTCCCACCTTTGTTAAAAAAATTCAATAAACAAGTCTTAATGAAAACGCAAAAGCGCACCGTGATGCACTGTCAAGGGCATGCTGAATCAACAGGTGGCAATAAAACCTTAGAATAAATCTGTTAACCAATCAAAAAGGAGAAAACAGCATGCATGCTGACCTTATAAGGCATAAAACTCGACCACACCATTTCTGAAAATATTCACCAGAGTTTTCAGAAAGTTTTGGTTTCAGTCACCTGATAATGTGTTTTTGTGTTGATGAATGGCTAAACCATGTAAAAACTGTCGTTTTCAAAATATCTGTGTTCGTGGGGAAATGGCTCAAGTAATTTCTTACTGTGTGTTTCTTTGATGAAAAGTAAACAACAAAGGAGGGGGGTGGGGAGGTGATCACAAGAATGGGGGAGTCACAGAATAAAATGAGAAAATATAACACACTGCTGTTTTGAAATATGGAAAAACTGTTATTCCACGATTTTCATCTGTTTTTATATTATTTGTTTACATGTTCTTTATACGCGTCTCTTTTATTCCAGTTTATGTAAAGCACTTTGAATTGCCACTGTATATAAAAAGTGCTATATAAATAAATAATGTATATGCTATGTAATGCTGTATAAATAATGTTAAGGGAAATTAGACCTACAGTATCTGTGATCCCAAATTGGTTCAGAATTACATGTGGATAAGTAAAGACAGAAGTTATGTTTTGGAATAACTAGTTATTTAAATCACCTGCCACCTTACAGGATGGCATATACTGCAATTAATAATTCTACACAAGTACACAAACCACCTGAAATACAAGGCATCAGCGCAATCCAGACCAGTAAAAATGGTGCTCGTGTGACACTTCAGCACAATGCTGATATCCCTTAGTACTGTGTACGTAAATGTTCAGCGGCGCCTGTTCTTGGATTGTTTTGTTTGCATGTGAACACACCCAGACCTTAGTCCAGCATTCCCTCCATCATGTCCACACCGCAGAACTATTGAACTTGGCATGTGCTCCCAAGAAGAAAAAAAAACGGCCCTTGGTTTGCACGCATCTTGGCGGGGCGTCTGTCCCCCCTGGGTTGTTACATAAAGGGCGGTAACGGTCAGCCGGGAGTCCAAACCTACTCTGTAATATTTCACACCAAACATCTCTCCCACATTATTGATTTCAGAGTGAAAAGTGTTGTTTTATATCAGTGGCTATAGATCAATATTGGATGTCATAAATGCTGGTTAGTAGTCTTGAAAAGAGGGATATTTTCTTGTTAACGTCGTCACTATATAATTCAGGCAGACAGTTAAATGCGGTAGCTTTCAGGAAGTTTTAATGTTATGAAATGTTTAGACTCAAAAATGCCAAAATATTTCCGTTCGGTCTTCAAAACAGATTGTGATTTACAGGAAGACTTCTGTCTGTCTCACGTATACGATACGGCATTTGAGACATGAATCTGATTGTTATCATTCAGTTTTCCATAAAGCACTCAGTAAAGCTTTAGAGTGGCCGGTGAATGAAATAAACACTCTTTCCTAACATTGTTTTGTGCTGAATATGTTTATTGCAGAGCATGGATTCGTGGGCTATTCGGAGAAGCTGCTGCGTAAGAACACCCTGCCAGACTACACAGCTGGCGAGACTTTCTTCACCGTGTTTGGGGTTTTCTTTCCTGCGGCGACAGGTGACCGTACACGCATAAACAATAAAGGCAAAACTGTGATGTAACAACCACTGATTAAATGATACTGTGCTGTTGGTAAAGTAAAAGCCTGTGTAAATTACTAGAGTGGCTGCAAGTGAGTTTTCAGAAATTGTGGTGTGATGAGGTTTTGGTCAGAGCTGTACTGTACATGGTGTGACTGGATTGGTTTTTAGGGCACTAGCAAGCCACACCCGAAGTGTGCTGAAAAGGTGGTCTGGGATAGATACTTTCAAACTTAGGATTTCAAGCAAACCACAAATATGATGATTACTTTGTCATAGACATACTTGCTTCAATATATTTTAATGTATAGGAATCAAATTATGTTGTGTGTAAAATGCCCAGTGTGATTCATTATGAAGAAAAATGTGTGTATTTAGAATGGCATGATTGTACAGCAACGAGTAATTGAAAGAAATATTTGTAATTAATAATGATTACCAATTTTTTGCAGTAATTTTAGAGATTAGTTTTGCACTACTGGATGAATGTATGTTTACTTTTTCCATAGCTGGTTCCCATATGAGTAAATTGTTGGAAGTTAAATATTGATTTAAGTCAAAGTATTTTGTTAGCTCTCACTGAACGCAAAGCTTCTGTAAAAAAAAGCAAGTGCCAAGCAAGTCAAAACTAGATGAGCATATAGGGGGATACATCATAGTCATACCTTGTATTAGGGCTTGTGGTATGGGCAAAAGAAACCTATATCGATTTTCTTCAACAAAATTGTGATTTTGATTTTAATCCCGAATTAAAAACACGAACAGATGTTTTACAGTGTGAAGCTGAAACATATTTTTCAAAATAAGATAATTAGTTCTTTATCAAAGACCTGTAACATGTCTCTAAAACAGACATGAGGTAAAGGATTAACAGATTGTTTCTAGAACAGACCTATGGCAAAACAAATAAATAAACTTCTATTAGTGAAGTTTCAATTAATCGTACAGCCCTACCATGTATCAAACTGAAATTTACCACATAAATAAATATTGGCCGATAGATCTTTAATGGATTTTTTTGTAATCCATTATGCAAGATATTTCTGTCAAGATGGTGAACACAGAGGTGATAATAAAGCACTATTAATACTGAAATCATTTGATTTCATTTTCTGTGCAACATCTCCAACAGCTGCAGCTGAATTTGTAAGAAATGACAGCCTGATCTCATGAGGAAACGTAACTATTTTACGTTTTGTCAGTTAAGTGGGTTATATGTAGGAATTTTGCAAGTTCAGTCATACGACAATGTTCGATTTCAAACAGAGGCGTGGCACCCAAACCCCCCCGCCCCTAAACCCAACGTAATTGGCGGATGAGCAAATCATTCTAAATTGTACAAATGAGATTTTACGAATTTACGAAAATTACAAAGCACTGCAGTGTTTGGCTGTTCTGTGTTTGTCTGAGATAATTAGTCTACAGAAATGTGCATACTCCATACAAGCTGAGCGTCAGTTCTTGTCACGTGACTCGTGGTGTGCTCGCAGCTTTCATTCAGGTGGGTGCGTCTGGAAGGCACGAGCGCGCAAGCCACGCTCCTCCATTGGAAATAATGAACTTGCGACACAATATGCGAACAGCCCCTAAAAGGCCACCATTATTTGAGATCTCCAGCAGTTGATCTTCTTGACAGACATGGTGGATTAACCTGCTGATTTGTTGACAAATAGGTTGTGGGTTTATTCCTTGGCAGTTCACGGGTCCTTCACTGGGCCTCTTCCCTTCAGCAAAAGAACTTTCCAAAGCCGTCTGTTTCTTACTCATTTTGCTGCTTGTGGGTTAAATTTGGGTGCTCTAGGGACTGACATGTAAGCTAAAGAATACTTTCATTTTTCAAAATAAAAGATCTTTGAAATAAAAGACCGTTCAGACTCGGATAATATGGAAATAGTAATGATTTCTTATGCGGCCTGGTACCAATTGAATTCCACGGTGGTTGAGGACCACTGCTGTAGGCAATGCCTACTGGATTAGCATTTTTATTCAGTATATGAATTATGTTTTAGTTTAGGATTAATTTATTACAATCAATATTTATTAGTAAATAAACTGCAAGTTAAAATGTCACCAATGTTACCGGTTGAAACCTAAAGTGGCGATAAGGTCTTAGAAAAAGTCTTAAAAAAGCTCTTAAAAGACGTGTAAAAGATGACAGAATTTTCATTTTTTGGGTGTGAACTATCCCTTTAAGTGTTGATTTTAAACATTAACATATTTTGTTATTATAAGTTCAGATTGTCTGTTCGGTCTTAAATCACTATTAAGTTTCAGGTTTGAATTCAGTCTTATCTTGTGATCTCAGTATACGAAACACATTCATGATGCTTTTGACTTATTTTAAGAGGTGAGAGACTCATGAATAAAAACAATCAAAATAAAAATACTGTTAGAAATTAAACAAACTTTTATTTTACACTCCTTTCTAGTCTTGAAGGCAAAACACATGGTAAACTGATGTCTGCCTCCTGTAAAGACCGAACAATTAATTTTGAGGAACACATGGTCCTGTTCAAAGTTTCCTTCTTGCTGCTGTTTTTAGTCAGGAAGGTGTTTCAGCTGAGCTTCTGTGTGTTGTTCAGGTCTTGAATAGCCTCTTGTCTCCAGTCTTGTTTTCACAGTGACCCTCTGTATGTGTGTGTGTAGGTGTGATGGCGGGATTCAACATGAGCTCAGATCTTCAGAGGCCCGAACACAACATCCCTGTGGGAACTCTCGCCGCAGTCTGCACCTCGTATGTGTCTCACAGCCACAGAAATTATTGTTTCATTCTTCCTCTGTTTACTTTTGGCCTCTGTTGTGTTGACTGTACACACAGCTTAAAAAAGACTGCAAATTATAAAAAAAAAGATCATAATGATCCATCACAGGTTATGTAGCACATATAGGTATAAGTTAATAAAAAAACAGTCAGAATAATCAATTTTGTTGAATATTATATGAATTTAAAATAGCTGTTTTCTATATAATAAACTTATGTTTTCTTGCATAGCAAAGCAGATTTTTTTTTTTAGCTATTGTTACTATTTCTTTTTAAATACATTTTTCAGGGTCATGCTGATTTGGTGCTCAATATTATGATGTACTGTATAGGTTTAATGTAATATAATGTAATGTTTATTTGTGCATGCACAAATACAATACAATTTCCATCTCTTTTGACCAGTTTATTGTCTCTTTGCTGAAACTGAGTTTTTTTATTAGGTTTTAAATATAACAATAAATATATAAATATGAACGGATAATAAAATAATACAAAATATATAATAATAAAAATAATACATTTTATTTATAATGCAGAATCTGTCTGTCTGTCTGTCCGTTCGTTCTTTCGGTTGGTCGGTCTGTCGTTCTGTCTGACTTTCCATCTGTCTGACTGTCTGCCGTTCTGTCTGGTGGTCTGTTTGTCATTATGTCGGTCGGCCTGTCTGTCATTCTATTCTGTCTGTTAGTATGTCAGTCAGTCTGTTGTTCTGTTTGTTAGTCGTTCTGACTGTCAGTTGATCTTTCCTTCTTTCTATCATTCTCTGTCATTATCTATCTATCTATCTATCTGTCTATCTATCTATCTATCTATCTATCTATCTATCTGTCTGTCTGTCTGTCTGTCTGTCTGTCTGTCTGTCTGTCTGTCTGTCTGTCTGTCTTTCTCTCTCTCTGTCTGTCTGTCTGTCTGTCTGTCTGTCTGTCTGTCTGTCTGTCTGTCTGTTGGTCGGTCTATCAGTCTCACTGTTGGTCTGTTGTTATGTCTGTCTAATTATCTATCTCGGTTGGTCGTTCTGTCGGCTGGGCGACTGTCGTTTTGTCTGCCATTATGTTAGTCATTCTGTCTGTTTGTCGGTTGGTCGGTCTTTCATTCTGTCTGTCTTTTTGTCATTCTGTCTGTTGGTATGTCAGTCGTTCATTTGGTCATTGTTTCTGTCATTTTGTCTGTCTGATGGTCTGTGTCATTCTGTCTGTTGGTCTGTTGTTCTGTCTGTCGGTCTATCTCCATCTTTCTGTTCATTCTGTCTATCTGTCTGTCAGTTGGTTCATCTGTTGTTCGGTCTGTCGTTCTGTCTTGTCAGTTTTCTGTCATTCTTTCTGTTGTTCTTTCTGTAATTTTCTCTGTCGGTCTGTCTGTCATTCTGTTTGTCGGTTGGTCAGTCATTTGGTCAGTCTATCTATCTGCCTATCTATTTTTTTATTTAAATTAAATATTTGAAAACTAATTCATTTTTTATATATATTTTTTAATCTTACGTTTAAATATTATTATTATTATTATTATTATTATTATTATTATTATTATTATTATTATTATTCATTCATTTATTTATTCGATCCCAAAAAATACCATGCAGTAAAACATTTTTCTTGACACCAAAAACAGCATTTCAGGATGATTAATGTGAAACTAAAATGCAAATCAAATTTTAAATATTTTAAAATAGAAAACAATTCTTTATTATATTTTGTTCATTATATTCCTGCATTTGCTTTTTTTTTTATCAAATGCAGCTTTGGTAAGACATAAATTTATTCTAATTATTCAAACAAAAACATACAACTATTCTAATGAACTTTTTGGCCTGTAGTATTAGCTATTATAGTGCTATTTTATCAGCTGGTAAGATCTATTGTAAGTTTATTTTCGACCCTTAATTATGTATGTATTATGTGCGATCACAGATTTGACATGCTTTCATTAAACCATTCTTGTTGCATAATACTCTATAAATAGTATGAATTTATCCCTGACCTATGGGTATTGTGGGAATCCACAGGTGGTTCCTGTATCTCGTCTTTGTGTTCTTACTGGGAGCCATTTGCACCAGAGAGGCGCTGCGCTATGATTTCTTAATAGCGGAAAAGGTAATCTGATGTTATTGCAGGCTTCAAAGGATGGCCATCTTCCACAGGGTTTTCCACTATTACGACTCATTGTCTCAACTGAAAGTGAGACTAGAGAATACCACCTCATCCACAGACAAAAGCTCATATTTGTGTTTATTGCCGTGTCATCCCATTCATGCAACAGAGGCATTTAAGGTCATTCTTAATGCTTCAGCTGGAGCAAGTGCTTGAAAGAAAATGAAGGCCAGTTGTGCGTTGACCTTGCACATACTTGGGTTTTTGGCACGATAACCACACAGCTGCCAGTCAACATAGATAACAGTGGAGTGCTGATCTAAGCTACATAGATGAGGAATGTGTAAGCCTGTAGTTTTGGTGGGCCCACAGCTGTTTGTTAATGTGGGTTGTTTTATGGGGGTTAACACAATACCAAAACCAGTGTTAAGCTGAGGTCACACTGCACTTTTCCTGGTTGCAAAGCTTGGTGAACTCTGCCCTGCGAAATTATATCACGTGATTGCGTGAGACCAATAGAAGATCAAAACATGAATCCTCTATACAGAAATTAAAAATACTGAGCAATCAATCACTTTATTAAGCAGTGATCACGCTAGAGTTTGAGCTTGCGAAATTCTGTCAAACGGCACTGCGAAAAGGCGGGATAAAACAAAATAATTACAGGTCTCAAAATAAACCTTTTTTTTTGGTAGCACCGGTGCTCCTAACTTCAAAAATGTAGGCGCACCAGACAAAATTTAGCCGCACTCACCAAAAATAATGAGCACTGTTACTACACATTTTATATTAACAGATTCTATTATATATTAACACTCTAATCACAACTAGCAAATAAACAGAAATCTACATGCGCGCACCAGCCCTGCACGCACTGCTTGACGTGAAAGAGATGAACTGAATTAACAATGATAACTGTGCTGTTCTCACAGGTGGTGTCTGATATTGCACAGATGATATTGACATATAACTTAATAATTGCATACGTCATCTTAATATTTAATGGTCTTTTCATGAGCTGCAATATTAGTTTCATCTCAGTGAATGCATGCTCTTTAGCGATGGTGAACGCGTTATCAGTCGCACAACTGTTAGCATCGTGACGATTAAATGAAGGGTTAAATAACGTTAGAACATTGAATGCTTTAGTCATTTTCATTGCAGACTTTAAACACTGGAGGTCTTTTATCCACTCCTCGAAAAGTGTAAATGCTGGATTGACATTCAGCACATGATCACTGATCAAATGTGTCATTATTTTTAACTTAAGGTGGTTTCTAAAACTAAATCTGTCAGTGTTGTTTTAATTCTCTCTGATCCAGACGTTTTTGCGGCTGTAACTCCCTGTCATCGGAACTGAGTGATTGACAGCTGTTATTAACCAATCCATTCGCGTTCTGTTCTAGCGCAGTGGGCCAATAAGAAGAGCTTAAAGGTGGGGCAAGCATTGCGGGCTTTGTTTATTGCAGCAAGTTGACATGTCAACTGTTTCAAACCAGTCCTGAGCGCTGCATTTGGCATTTTTAGGTGCAAAGATTAATGCGTGAATGCCTCCTAATTCCACGCATGTGGTGAGCATTTTGCTTTGAAAACAACAACTTTATGCACTCTCACAAATGCTCCCAAATATATTTTGATGTCACAGAGATAAAATTTTGGGCGCGTATGCAACTGAAACTGTCATAATTTTTAGCCCTGGATTAGACATTGATAAAGCGAGTGCTTGCTCCATATTTTAAACTTCTGTCCAGAGAGGGCATGTTTTTACCTTGTATTGGTCTTACGCAATCCCATGATGCGATTTCGCAGGCCTGAGTTCACCAAGGTTGAATTTTGGAACTCTGTAGCGCCGTCTAAAATCAAATACAACCATAGTATAGAGTATGTTAAAGGCAAGCCGAGTATTCATTTATTAATTTTCCATCAGCTTAGCCCCTTATTTTTAGGGGTTGCCTAAGCGGAATGAACCGCCAACTATTCCAGTTTAGTTTTACGCAGCGTATGCTTATATATATATATATATATATATATATATATATTTTTTTTTTTTTGATGGTGTAACTAAAAGATTTTTATGAAGGGCCATTTAAAAAAAAAACCTAGTGCTTTTTCTTAAAGTCCTAAATTTGACTTTCAAAACTCACAATATGTGTAATGCAATACCAATGACCAGAACTATGGTCAGTGCATACAATACAATTAATCTGAACCTTATTAAAATCACAAAAGGTGCATTGTTGTGTTGCAAGATTTACACATAATCACCATCAACATCATCATCATACTGTATTCTTTGCCATTGAGCACTCATTATGGGCTCTGACGGATTACGCATTGTTTCTTTGATTTACTTTCAGCACATTATAAGCTCTTTTCAGTCTGGCCAAGCGGAACAGAGCTGGGTGGGGCCCTCTACACTCTCTTCCCCTCTGTGTTTGTTTTTTTCCCAGGTCTCCTTGGTTGGTTTCCTGTTTTTGCTGGGCCTCTACATCTCCTCCCTGGCCTCCTGCATGGGCGGCCTGTACGGTGCACCCAGGATCCTCCAGTGCATCGCCCAGGAGAGAGTCATTCCAGTTCTTGCGTTTCTTGGAAAAGGGGTGGGTGATTTTATGGATATGATAACCATATTAATGTGGTTATTTCAATGTTTTATACTAAATAATGGTTCATTGTGTAAATTGCTCATGTTTTGATTCTAATCAAGGCTAAATCTGTTCCCCTAAAGCTCTGTTTCAGTGATCTGATCACAAGTGGCTTTGATTTTAATCTGTATGTTTTGGTACAACACAAAGAAATACAGTGTGAACACCTTGTTTTGGTGCACTTTTGGTTTCACAAGATGTCCCATATGAATAATAATATTAATTTAATTTTGTCTAGTGCCTTTTAAAATTAATTCTCAAAGCACTTTACACTCAATGAAATGGAAGGATAGCAAGAAAAAAGTTATGCAGAAGATAAAAATTATATATATATATATATATATATATGTATATGTATATATATATATATATATATATATATATATATATATATATATATATATATATATATAAATATATATATAACATTGTAAATACAAAACCAATTAAAGAAATACATACACCTCTCAAATAGTCTAAAAAAGTGAGTCTTCATGGATACAGGATAATTCTTTCAAATATTCTGCATGCTTAATACTATGGGGGACTGATGTCCAGAGTTTTGGAGCAACAGAGGAAAAGGCCACATTTTAAGATTAACATTTTTCCCCATGGCATTGTAGGTTCCCAGTGTTTTCTGGCATGGCAGTTCAAGATTTTGTTTCCAAAAAATAATATCAGAGATGTTAAAGGGATAGTTCACCCCAAAATTAAAATTTTGCCATCACAGCGTTCACTTTATCTATACCTGTTTCTTTCTTCACAAAAAAAGTACAAACTTGTAGCCACTGAGATTTATAGTACATTTTTCCTCCTATGAATGTCAATGGCGAATGGTTTTCTTTAATATTATTCAAAATAACTTTTGTGTTCAATAGAAACTCATAATGATTTGGAACCATTTGAGGGTAAGATAGTTTTCATTTTTGGGTGAACTGTCCATTATGGTTTTATGATTATAAATTATGATTTTACATCTGTATTTAGAGTAAAAAGAGGTGCTCAAGCGTAATTTTGTGGTGACTGTGCTTTAAAATTGAAATAATATAACCTAAATTCAAGAGATCAAGTATTTTGAAAGTCTAACAGTACTATTGTATTGGAACATTTCCCTGGCTGGTTTGAATGTTGTTAAAACAGTTAAAAACTTTTGGTATAAAAGTAATACAATGTCATTACATTAATAAAGTCCTTTAAATAGTTCAAATCTAAATAAGGTAATACTAAGTAACTAGTAACCTGTAATATTTCCTTATAATAATATTTAATAACAAGTGGTCTTCTATGATGTAAATCGGGTGGCCAACCCTGTTCCTGGAGAGCCACCTTTGTGCAGATTTCAGTTGCAACCCATATCAAACACACCTGCCTGTGATTATCACGTGGTGTTCAGGTCCTAATTAATTGGTTCAGGTGTGTTTGATATGGGTAGCAACTGAAATCTGCAGGAAGGTGGCTCTCCAGGAACAGGGTTGGCCACCCCTGATGTAAATGAAAAGCAGGAACGTTACTACAGGGTGTGTTCTCAGATACTAATAAATGATTGTATGAACGCTTTGGATGACGAGTAAAATCCAGCATTTGTTTATCATCCACTTTGTGCCACTTTAAATTAATTGTTTACTTTTTCACGCTCACCGAGTAGCTCCACAGACGGCAGGATGAGTTCCTAATTATAGTGTGCCCGAGTGCTCTTCAAAAAAAAAAAAAAAAAGTAAAGGAATGAACTGTAACAATTGTGTCTTTCAAAAGGCACAGCACACCCTTTCCCTCGCCTGAGCTCTGTCTGACCCCTCTCTGTGAGCTACAAGCTCACCCGAGACATCTCTGCCTGAATCAAAGTCCCAGAACAAATGCAGGAAGCTCACAGAAGACCAACCCTGCTGCATTTGGATGTGTGCCAGCCAGTAGTAGTACCTCCATCCTAGAGACTTATGGGATCTGGGTAATGACTGGTCTAAGGTGACGAGAGTTTTTTTTTTTTTGGGATGTTTTAATTGGATGCTTCCACTCACTTATTACATAAACTAAAGAGGGTGAAAGATATGAGAGTATACGAGACAAACTCATAATGTGAACGAAAATGCATCAAAATGTTAAATTAAAGCTGCAGTACAAAACTTTTGCCTTTCTCTCACCATTAGATACATTAAATTGCAACCTACATGTGGAGAGATTAGTATTTTCTTTTTTTTTTAGTTTGTTGAAACCATCCTCAGCATCCACACACAGAAAATAGAGCTGGATATTCTTATTTTAGTTTTTAAATATGGCAGTTTTACAATGATGTGCTCTCAATAAATGTAAAAATAAACACAGTGGCGCAGTAGGTAGTGCTTTTGCCTAACAACAAGAAGGTCGCTGGTTCGAGCCTCGACTGGGTCAGTTGGCATTTCTGTGTGGAGTTTGCATGTTCTCCCCGCGTTCGCGTGGGTTTCCTCCGGGTGCTCCGGTTTCCCCCACAGTACAAAAACATGCAGTACAGGTGTATAGGGTAAGCTAAAATTATCCGTAGTGTATGAGTGTGCATGGATGTTTCCCAGAGATGGGTTGCAGCTGGAAGGGCATACGCTGCTTAAAACATATGCTGGATAAGTTGTCGGTTCATTCCGCTATGGCGACCTCTGATTAATAAAGGGACTAAGCCAAAAAGAAAATGAATGATTGATGTTTGACAGAGCAAGGAAATTTTCACAGTATGCCTGATAATATCTTTTCTTCTAGAGAAAGTCTTATTTGTTTCATTTCAGCTAGAATAAAAGCAGTTTTAATTTTTTTTTAAAAACCATTTTAAGGTCAGAGTTATTAGCCCCTTTAAGCTATTTATGTTTTCGATAGTCTACAGAACAAACCATTGTTATACAATAACTTGCCTAATTACCCTAAAAAAGCAACAGTAACTCAAATAACCACTTGTTACAACCGAGATATGCAGAAGAGCATCACTGAATGCACAACACATCAAACTTTGAGGCGGATGTGCTACAGCAGCAGAAGACCACACCGGGTGCTACTCCTGTCATCTAAAAACTGAGGCTACAGTTCGCACAGGCTCACCAAAATTGGACAACAGAAGACTGAAAAACTTGATGAGTCCGATTGTAGGGTCCGATTTTGGCATCAACAAGCATGGATGACAGCATGGATCCATCCTGCCTTGTATCAATGGTTCAGGCTGCTGCTGGTGGTGAAATAATGTGGGGGATATTTTCTTGACACACTTTGGGCCAGTTAGTACCAACAAAGCATTGTGTCAATGCCACAGCCTACCTGAATATTGTTGCTGACGATGTTCCTCTCTTTATGACCAGTACACCCCTTTTCTGACGGCTACTTCTAGCAGGAAAACGCGGCATGTCATGAAGCGCCAATCATATCAGACTAGTTTCTTGAATGAGTTCGCTGTACTCAAATGGCCTCCACAGTCACCAAATCTCAATCCAATAGAGCACCTTTGGGATGTGGTGGAATGGGAGATTTAACATCATGGATGTGCAGCTGATAAATGTACACTAAAAAAATGACTGGTTGCCTTAAGTTAAATCAAAATAACTTTCAGGCAATTCAACCTAAATTATATTAAACTAACTTAAATAAAAGTGTTAAAATTTTTTACAAATTAAGTTATAAATGTCATTAGCTTAATTTATTAAGTAATGATTAACATAAAAACAAAGATTGTGATGGGTTATCCTCTTTAAGATGAGACTGATGTGCAATCATTGATGATTGTACATGTTTAGTTGCTGATCTGCTGATCTGTTAGATAAAAATAGTTATTACTACTTCAAAACATGACATGATGTGGTGTTTTAATAAAGTAGACCTAAACTGTACAACATTTATTTGTTTTTGCTTTCCAATTAATACTAGAATAATTGAATATGTAAACTATTGATGACATTTATTCCAAATTTAATATAAAAATGCTGACATTTAAGCCATTTTTCAAAAGTGCTGTGTTTTTACACACGTTTATTTAAATTTTTAGTATTTAAATCAATATTTGGTGGAATAACTCTGATTTTTAAACACAAAATATGAAAACATTTGTTATTCTGACCAACTTTCTACAACAAAAAAGTTCTAAATTATAATATTTTAATTTGAAATTTGAATGAGTACTGCCTCTTATGCACTGCTTTGAAACAAAGATTATAGAATAACGGACTTCGATTAAGATCAGTTTAGCTTCCTATGAATTTTAATAAAACAATTAAAACAATACTGTAAATATACCTCTAAATTAGCAGTTTTCCATATTTTGTGATTTGTGTTTTTAATTTTCTCCTTTTGTTTATGCTATTGAATTGCATTATGAGATATTCATCTTCCTTCCAACAACTTTTAACCTTGAAAAGTTTGAAAAAGTGACTTATTAATGTTTTTAACAGTTTAAAGTGATATATTGTCTGCGTTGATCCTGTATATTCCAGTACAAAAGCCTTGTAATAAACTGCCTGTACATATTATTTTCCAGAATTATTTCTCTATATATTTCTAACAGGCATGGGACGATAACTGTTTTTAAGGTATACAGGGGTTTTGAAAAGTCAAGGTTTTAAAACCGACAACATTTTCTGCTATACCGTTCCTAAGGTATGTAAGGTTTTTTTTACGTTACAGTGTCTCCAGCACAAAACAAATCCAAAGATGCCGTTTTAAATTGTAAAAAAAATCTGTGTTTTTAAAACTAATAAAGACAGCAGAAGTTAACGATACATTGTAATTATTTAGCCTGACATGTTTACTGTTCTGAAATATTTTAAAAGCATCTCAAAATAAAATGTATTGTGTTCAAGGTGGAAAAAGTTTTTGTTCTTTACCCAGACGTTTACAAAGAACATATATTAACGCAGTAATCACAATACTGTAAAAACCGTGAAACAGTGATATTTTATCCAGGCTTATCATATTGTCAGAATCTTATACGGGCCCATGCCTAATTTCTAATACATTGTTATTTCGAACTAGTAAAATGTCAATAAAAGTTACTTTGTTAAACGTAGAGTTGAATTTTCAACATCAAAAGTCGACAGAGCAGAGATCAACATCCCATAATGCAATTCACAACTGTAAATAAATGAAATTTTCTTTTTTACAGTGTAGGCAGTGCACATTAACACAGCCATATTTTTCTATTCCCTCTCTCCTAGCGAGGGCCCAATAAGACGCCTGTGGCCGCCATCTGTCTGACCAGCTTGATCACCATGGGCTTCATCTTCATCGGCCAGGTCAATGTCCTGGCTCCTATCGTCACCATTAACTTCATGCTAACCTATAGCGTAATTGATTATTGCTATTTCTGTGTGGTGAAAACCTACGAGCTGCAAGTCCAGCAAAGGAAGAAGCTGATCAGCAGGTCGAGCTCCAGAAAATCACTGGTGTCCAGCACTCACCCCCGTTACGGCAGCGGTGGAGCCATCAGTGACCCTGTGAACGGGACACTGCTGCAGTTCACCAAGGACATGGACCAGATATTTCCATTGCCCAGCACTGAAGAACAGAGAGCCAGTCCTGCCTCTAAAGCCCGAGGCAGGAAGACAAAGATTCCAGCTAAAGAAATGCTGATGAATAGTTTTGGGTTGGACTTGAACAGCAATGCACCATTAGATAAAGGAAAAGATGAGAGAGAGCTGGAACAAGCTGCTGGATTGGATGATGATACCAGTAGCCAGATAGGACTGATAGAGTCTGACCTGAAAATGGGAAACCAGATGAATCTGTCCTTGCCTAATTCTGGCCCGGCTGAACTTGAACAGCTTCCAAAAGAGAAGATAGACAGGAATGGTATGTAATTATTAAGAGGAAACATTACATAACTACTCGATCGAGTGATCACAGTGGTATTTCACCATTATGCCTTTTATTCACAGGTTCAGAAACAAATCTTGAAGGATCCGAAATCAGATCAATTCAAAGTTCAGTTTATGCCAGATTTTGCAACCCCTGGGTTTCGTTGATTGGTGTAAGTTTGTTCAAATTTATCTTATTATGCCTACTGCAAACTAAAAAAAAGTTAAAATATGTAATTATTAAATCAAATCTTCTAATGATGCTTTGGTCTTTCTTCAGGCGTTGTGTTCTTTTATGATAATGTTCATTATCCAGTGGATGTACGCCTTGATTAACATTTCAGCTGCACTTATACTCTTTATCTACATTGGAACAACAAGTCCAGGTTTGCCAACAGGTACAGTAACTCAACTTGAAAAATATTTGAAAAATGTAAAAAAAAGTTCATGATAAAATACAGGTGCCCTGGAAAAAAATTAACAAACCCTTCAGAGTACTGCTTATGTTGAATAGTGTATATATATATGCAGTTATTCATTTTTTAAAAACTATTTTTGGGACAAAATTATTAGCCACTTTAAGCTATTTTTTTTGATAATCTACAGAATAAACCATCGTTACACAATAACTTGACTAATTACCCCAACCTGCCTAGTTCACCTAATTAACCTAGTTAAGCCTTTAAATGTCACTTTAAGCTGTATAGAAGTGTCTTGAAAAATATCAAGTAAAATATTATTTACTGTCATAATGGCAAAGATAAAATAAATCAGTTTTTAAAACTATTATGCTTAGAAATGTGCTAAAACAATCTTCCCTCCATTAAACAGAAATTGGGGAAAAAATAAACAGGGGCGCTAATAATTCAGGGGGGCTAATAATTCTGACTTCAACTATATATATATATTTATATATATATGTATATATGTAATATATATGTATATATATTTATGTGTGTGTGTGTGTATATATATATATATATATATATATATATATATATATATATATATATATATATATATATATATATATATATATATATATATATATATATATATATATATATATAAACTTAATATATAAAATGCAAAATAATAGCTTTTTTTAAACTAAGTTTTTATTAAAGTTTTTATTAACATACTATATAAATACCTTTACTTACAGTGTTTACAATCACAATAAAAAAGAAACAAACAGATAGAAATTAATCATTGATAGAAATGATAATAATAGAGAAATAATATTGGTAGCTTTAAAAAATAAAAATAGATAAAAACATAAAAAGGGGGGAAAAGTAGATTTAAAAAAACTCCAATATAAAGGCAACAACAAAGATAAAGCCCCTGACAGCCTTTCAAAGATCAAGTAAGTTTGTTTCAATTAATGCCCAGGTCTGTTGGAAAAGATCTGATTTTAACTGCAAATCTGCAGTCATTTTCTCAAATATATATCTGTTTCAGCCTCTGTGTCCATTCTGTCAAAGTAGATTAGCGGGTCTTCATCCAGTTCACTGTAATTATCTTTCTAGCTGTTATTAATAATATATGTAGTGCAAATAGGTGGGACTTACTGAATAAATCAGGGGGAAAATAATAGCATGTTAACTGTTACTTAATGTTTACAATGCAAATCCAATTTGATCCACTTATTTGGTAAACAAAGCAAGCCTCTCATGTAATATATCTCCTAAAAGACAGACAGCATTACTTTACAAACCGCAGTGTAAATAAATCAAGTGAACATTTTCATATTAGTCAATAATATTACAGAAGCAAAAAACTGAATAAATTGGATGTATCTCGATGAGATACAAACCTGCAAAAGTCTGCAGATTCCATGTGGGCCTACTTATAAGATGATTGAAATGCATTTTCCCTTCTTTGTTTTGCATGTGTATGGGACATTTTAATATCAAGATAATAATTTCAATCATTTAAATTTGTCAAAAAAGAGAATTTTTCAACATTAGGCTGAATCTGGTGTGGTGTAAAATAAGTTCTCTTGCCACAGGTGCTGCATCTCACTTCAGCTTCTTCAAGTGGCTCAAGACATCACTGCATAATTTGGGGAGGTATGGTATTAGATCGTATTCAATCGAATAGGCACTTGATTTTCAGGATGATGTATGATGTTTATTTTAACTGTGTGGCCATGGAGCATCTGATGGCACAGTAAAAGACCATCTGTCTTTTGTTATTTGTCATGATATTTTAGTGAATGTTTTCTCAATACACTATATAACACAGCAATGGCATAAAACAAACAAAAATGTGTCCAATAATAATATCAGAAACTGATTATAAATGATTCAGTGCTGTCTTTGTATCTGGCAATATATAAGTCTGTCTGTTGCATATTGTGTTGCATATTGAGTATTTTCCGAGATTTAACCAAAATGACACGCATAGCTTTTGGTGTATAGCAGTGTCCATCTGTTATTTCAATATGCACTTGTTAGCAAATAATAGAATATTTTTGACTTGTCTTGTTGGGATAGTTCATCTAAAAATGGCAATTGTCATTTGCTCTTCCTCCACTTCCTGTCGGACACAAAGGGAGATACTAAGATGAAGGTTGGGGGGTATATTCTTCAGAATATCTTGTTTTTTGTTCATCAGAAAAAGAAAAAAAAAATCACAAAAGTTGTGAACCACTTGAGTGTGAATGTATTTTAGATGAACTATCCTTTCAAATTCAGCTAGTTTTTCATGTAGTTGCAAAGATCCAGCCATGCTATTTTGTTTGTGATATGCATCATATGGTCGGTGATCATGTTTTTTTGGCCCTGTGGTTGTGCCATCTGTAGCTCAGATTGAGAGTAGGTGTTACAAGACAAATTCAGAGCTGTTGTCTTTTTGCTGTGTTGAAAGTTTTATGATTATTGAAGCTGTCCTTTAGCTTGCTCATTTGGAGAGCTCCTAAGTCAAAGACAGCAAATTATATACAGTGGAGGGCAAAATTATTATCCCTTGTGTGCAATAGTTATTCTTTTTTTAATAACCTTTTTTTTTTTAAACATTCAAACACAACGACTCACATATTTGGTCCAACAATATACAAACAATACATACAGAAGTAAAATAATAATAGATAAAAACAATATAAAAAAATACAAAAATAAAATAAATAGTAATAAAATAAAATAAATGCAAAACAGAATAAATAAAAATAAAAACAAAATACTGACCTTCAGTTTTAATCTAAATTAGTCCAATCCTCTTCAGTTTTACTATTTCCTGCAGAATTTATATCTTTAAACCAGGGGTGCCGGCTCTCCAGGACCAAGTTTGGGAACCCCAGCCTTAAACTAATCCATGAAAGGTTGCCAGATTTTATAGAATTTGTCTTTCTTTTTTATGGACAGTCTGATTTTCTCCAGTTCCAAATGTTTCATGACATCCCCTATTAGTTGTATATATGTATTGTTCTTTCTTAAATATTTCTCAAGTCATATTTAAGAGAGCAAGGAAATCTTCACAGTATTCCATATATTATTTTTTCTTCTGGATAAAATTTTATTTGATTTATTTTGACTGGAATAAAAGCAGTTTTGATTAAAAAAAAAAACATTTTAAGGTCAAAATTATTTGCCCCTCTAAGCTATATATTTTTTCCAATTGGCGACAGAACAAAAGCATTGTTATACAATGACTTGCCTAATTACCCTAACCTGCCTAGTTAACATTAACCTAGTTAAGCCTTTAACTGTCACTTTAAGCTGAATGTGAGTGTCTTAAAAATATCTAGTAAAATAAAAGAAAGTTATTAGAAATGAGTTATTAAAACTGCTATGTTTAGAAATGTTTAAAAAAAATATCTCCTTTAAATTGGGGAATGTATTAAGTATAGTATATTGTATATACAAAACTGAACCTCACGTCACCAATCAGTGGCCTCTCTTCTTAGGCAAAATGGGGCCCTTCAGGACCAGATTGTGGTGACACCGTCTTTGTCAGCTGTTGGCATGGAGACCCGGCAGCTGACAGAGGAAAATGCAGACTTTGCCCTCCGTGATCGGTACCATCACTCCTCCTTTATCACCACCACAGACAAGATGGTCCATCCTCAGTCCAACTGAGTATGAAGCAGCTGCGCCCTGCTGACCAGCTGGACTGAAACCATGGACACATGGGACATAATAATCTTGACTGATCACTGAATTGAGCAATTACTGTATTTTTATTTACTGCAGTTGTCTTATACTTGGACTGAGTCTTATTTTCCTGGAAAATCTGAAGAAAACAAATGTTTCGGGAATGTGCAATCAAATCATGCATTTTGGTTCAATGTGCCGTTGTGTTGGAGGAATATTTAAAAAGAAAATCCATGAACAGCATTGTGTGCTTTTGTTTCATTTGCACCATGAGAATTTCAGGTCAAGGAAATGTGCACTTTTTTCTTGACCTTATAATACAGTAATGCCGTGACATGTTCATTCAAACTGTGAAGTCGCCAACAATCTGTTGGCCAAATTATTTTTGAAAGCAACTTTCAAAGACACCCATGTCGGATTCTTCAAATGAATTTACACAATCTGCAGCATGGTGGCTCAGTGGTTAGCACTGTCGCCTCACAGCAAGAAGGTCGCTGGTTCGAGTCCCAGCTATGCCATTGATCACTGTAATATTACCTGCAAGTAGCAGATTCTGTTACAAATGCACAGATTGACTACACAAAAATGACACAAACATTGTCATCATTTACTCACCATTCACTTGTTCCAAACTTGTCAGACTTTCTTTCTTTTGTGCGCAAAGAAGATAACTTGAATAAAGCTGAAAACCTGTAACGCTTAACTTAGTATTTGTTTTGATGTCAGTGGTTAAAGCCAGGTTTTTAGCTTTCTTCATAATATCTTCCGTTGAGTTCAACAGAAGTAACTCATAAAGGTTTTAAAACAACTTGTGGGTGAGTAATAAATAGAGCAAATTTTCATTTTTGGGTGAACAATCTCTTTAACCCTGTGAACATGGTGTTTTTTTTTTTATACTTTATTTATAGAAGTTTTTGTAAGAACATAACACCAAATAATGTACATCATATATATATATGTTGACAAACTTGTCTCAGTGTTATTACCTTATACTAACTAGAACATGCACCAAAACACAAGCAAACATAACAGCAATTTTACAGCACCATCACAAAACAATAAAGAAATTTTAGCCAGACTGATGGAATAAGAGACAAAATAGAATAACATGTAAAAAGGAAGTGGAGAGAAGAAAAAAAATATTACCAGAAAAAAAAAATATTACAGAAACATTAATAACCTATACATCTAAGGAAGGGGCCCCATGTTTTGTCATACAACTTTTGTTTGCCAAATCTAGAGAAGCGTATCCTTTCCAACTTGAGGGCAGAAACCATTTCAGCTAACCATTTAAAAAAATTTGGAGGTGTTGTGGATTTCCACTCCATCAGAATCACTCTCTTGGCCAACACCATGCCAAACATAAAGGAGAGTTGTTGATGTTTAGGCCAAGTTAGAGCCTGGTCTGACCATCCAAACAATGCTATTTCTACATCAATTTTTATGTCCATTTCAAAAGCCTGGGAGTAAAGTCCGAAGATACTTTTCCAAAATTCAGATACTTCTGGACGTGAACATGGTGTTTTAAGGCAGTGGTTCTCAAAGTGGGGTTCGGGACCCCCTGAGGGGTCGCGGGGCAATGAAGGGGGGTCGCCTGGTGATTTCCAAAAATCTATTTATTTTTATTAAACCATAAGAATTAACATTTTATCCATTACTATACTGAAAATAAAAAATATTCGTTTATAGTTACTATATACTATATAGTTACTATAGTAGCTTATAGTTACTAGTTCTATTGCATTGCGACCCCTGGGGTAATTACATTATATTAAAGGCAGCAATAGCGTCAGATGCATTTTGATTTTATAACATCAGGTTATACTTTCTAGCACATTTAAAGCACTGACACAAATTTAATTGGTGTGTCTGCGTCATTGCATGCAAGGTTTCTGTATTTATAACCACCTCAGAGGATATTGGGGGTCGCGAGTGACTGGCATTGTTATTTTGGGGGACGCGGGCTGAAAAGTTTGGGAACCCCTGTTTTAAGGCATCATAATGCTGACTGTCAGCAATGTTGCAGGAAATGACTGCTTCTCTTATAAATAATACTCTGCAGTCAGTGTGAACAACCATGTGTTTCACAGATTTTTTCTTTTCACTTTTTAAAATGTTGTTAGTGTAGATTTCCACCTTTTCTTATTGATTTGAACAGGGGAATGCAGAGTCATACATAAAACAGTATACAATGAAATAAACAACAACAATTAAATATGTTTAACTCAAGTATATTAACCAAGTTTTTTTCCAGCAGTTGAGATGTCTTAAGAGCCTTACAGTTTACTCTGTATTGAAGTCAGGAAATCATAAAAGCTCTTTAGATCAATCAAAAAGGGTCACACTTTATTTTGATGGTCCGTTTGTTGAATTTAAGTTACATTGCATCTACATGCCAACTAATTCTCATTAGATTATAAGTAGACTGTTAGACTGGGGTTAGTGTAAACTGACATACCTGTAAAGTCTCTTATAGTCAGTTAAATGTCTGTTGAAGGATCAGTATCAACATGGTATTAAGCAGACAGTCTATTAATACTCAAATGAATCATCAAAATAAAGTGTTACCTTAAAAAGAGTTTACAGTTTCTACAGTTAATGTGGTAGGCTACTTTCCAAATAACATAAGGATTTAGTGATTTTGTCCATTTCCGATAATGCAGTTATAATCCGTAAACAAACCCGTTTTATCTACGATTTCCACCTGTTGTGCCATCATCTGACTTGTTTAATAGATATCTGTCTGAAGCGGATTGAGCAGCACACATTAGTGAGTGCGTTGATCCAGAGGAATGGGGTGGAAACCGCTATCGCCTGCCCGAGGGGAGGAGTCACCCGCCGCTCCGGTTTCTCACTCTCGCCGCCTGAAATAAAACCCTTCCAAGACTTCTTCACCAACTTTAAATCCATCCCAAGGAATTTACTAATGGGAAACTGTTAAAAGAGACCCACTTTCCGATGGTGACCCGGATCAGTTTGGCGTTTTATTTATTAGGAAGCCCGCCCGGTCGCCTTTATGATGGAAACGTGCGCTCGCCGTGTGCTTTTCACGGCCGCTCTGCTCGTCCTCAGTACTGTGATAGCGGAAACTTTCTCCACAGACTCGGACACCGATAATCCACTGAGTACAGAAACTTTTTATAGCCGAACAAGTGGCTTGAAACAAACCTCCTCCTGGCCAGGGAGAGAGGCCACTGCCACAGCCGTGGATCTATCGAGCGGACTGGGAGAGATGACGGAGATTCCCGCCAGTGTATCCATCACTGCAGCCCGAGAGGGTAAGACTTCCATACCCCCTGACTGATGCCCAAAAGTGCTCTCTAGATTAGACAACAGTCAACTAGGTCCTGCGACAGCCTCAGTCTGCATAGTATAAAGTAGCTGTGATAGGAAAAAAATCTGTTTTGTAGTTTTCAAGATGTATTGTGTTTAAACAAACCAGTTATTAAAAGATTACAAAGATGCAGCCACCTCCGGTCAGGAGATTCTCATGTGATGAACACCGAATTGTACGTGTTTATCATGTGATAAAGACTGGAAGATGCAAGAATAGCATTTGATGTCTTCTATTTACTATTTTAATACACCAATTTTGCATCAAGTAATGCATTACTATTATTATGCTGTTGTTATTAATGTGTATAGCATCAAATACACAGCGCACACAATATATGCTCTGCAGCATTTTGGCAAGTATGAAATCTGCAAACTAATGAGATTACTTACGGTTAGTTTACTCGGTTTTTGGAAGAGCATCTCTTAATGAATGACCTCCTTGGCTCATGACCATCCTCGTTCATAAACTGTTCCACTTTCTTGAGCCAGAGACTTTCTGTCAGTCTGCAAGTTCGTGTTAGTGGTTTGTTTTTGTTCTAGTTTTGTGATTTAGTTGGGAGAATTTGCGTTTTATGTCACTTTTCATGTTGACATGCTGGCATTAGTTCTGCGATTAAATAAACAGAAGTGTGTCTAGTGAATTGGTTCTTATATACACCTGGCTTTTATATGGTTTATAGAGAATTTTGAGTACAAACAATATAATTCAGCATGTGACACTTTATAGGTTTCGTTTAATTAGTTGTACATTATCAACATGAAAAATACTTAAGCATCTTAATATTTATTAACAGATTTTACATTTATCATCTATTTACATCATTTTATGCACTCTGAACTAATAAGCGTTTTATAAACAATATCAAAGTTTCTTAAATACTGTAAAAAGTTCATGTTAGCTTATGCCTTCGTACTGTTAACAAACAAAACCTTTTGGTATCACTTTATTTTGATGGTCTCTTTAACACATATGGTTGAATTTAAGTTACATTTCATCAACATGCCGACTAATTCTCATTAGATTATAAGTAGACTGTTTGGGTTAGTGTAAGTTGACATGTACTTGCAAAGTTACTGATAGTCTGTTGAAGGAGCAGTATCAGCATATATTAAGCAGACAGTCTATTAATACGTAAATGAGAAGTAATTGGCTTGTAGTTGCAATGCAACTTTTAGTCAACAAAATGTTCAATAGGGACCATTAAAATAAAGCGTTTCCAACCTTTTTGTAAAGTTTTATTACTGAGTATTTGACACAACTTTAGGTATTTTAAGAAGTAGCCTCTAAAACCCTTTGGATTTCCCAGTGTTACAGCCTAATATCCCAGTAATGACATCATATAATTTACTGTTTGCTTGAATTTATAATCATTTGTGTGTTATGGGATTCAGCTTTTATTCAGGACATTATTCTAGCTTTACTTTCACAAGTAAACTCAAAAATAAAGAAGAGCAGAATTCTTCTGAGGCATTGAAACAATGAGTTAAGTGTAAAATTTGAGTTGTGAAATATGTGTTTTCATTTCGTCTGCAACTGTGATTGAGCACAATCTTTCATAACTTGCACAAGTGTTCTGTGGGTTAGTCCCAGAAAACACTGCATTTCACTACTTTTCTTGATCTCATCTACTATTGTCCAGATCATACACTGTAAACCAACTTTATCTCATAAAATGAGTGTAGTTAACTCAAAATTGACTGAAAGTTCAAATTACTCATTTGAAAAGAGTTTTGAACTCAGTGTTGAAGGCAATGAGTTAATTAAATACCTCATTACTTTAACTTTAATGGGGTAAGTACACAGTTCTCATATATATTAGTTTTAACTCAAATGTTTGAGTTGCCTTATCGGGTTTACAGTACTCAATTGGTTTGTGTTCTCTTCATTTATTGGGATTTACTGTCCTCAAATTGCTTCATTTACTCAAATGGAGTAATTTCACAGTACTTATTAGAATAATTTGTTTTAAGTTAAATGGTTTGTTGCAGTCAGTTTTCTCAAACCGTTTGAGTTGCCTTAACTTATTGGGTTTTACAGTACTCAGTTGGTTTGAGTTCTCTTCATTTATCAGGTTTTACTGCGCTCAAATTGCTTCGTTTACTCAAATAGATTAAGTTCACACTGCTCATTAGGGTTAGTTTTTTTTTTTTTAACTTACACAGGGCTCGAAATTGCGACCATTTTAGTCGCATATGCGCCCGAAATTTAAGCTATGCGACTCATAATATATATTGGGGGCATTCGTGCGACTGCATATTATGGTTATAGTGCGATCTATTTTTTTTTTTCTAAAAACGTGGTAAATTCGCTCTTCCCTGCCGCTATATTGGTTCATATTAGCCGTCAATCACTCAATACTTTCCGCTGTCAGATGACAGGGAGGGAGCTTTTGTGACCGCGGGGATTGCAAAACGGCTGAAGAGTGAAAAGTACACTGAATCTCGATGCGTTGTATGCACAGCGTTCAGCCAACACAATCTCACGGCAATTCATAACTTTTTCATACGTTTCCTCGTGAGCAGGCTGCAACAGCGCAAATGTCCGCTAAAACACCATCGCCAAAGAAGCTTGCCTTTACTAAGTTTGATCTGATGCGGGTTATAACAAAGAACAGTATTGCGCCGGTGGGCATCGGGAGAATCCTGCTCTGCCCCCCTCATATATTGGGTCGGCTGACTCGCATGCTTTTCCACAAACACAGAAAAATGTAATTCAGCGCATAACGAGGCTGAGCATTAAAACGACACGAACCGAAACCAAAACTTTTAAAAGTGAGGCTTTTCTTCCTTTCTTTTGTCCGTTCTTTCTTGAGGTCTATATTATTTTTCTATTTAATTACTTATGACTGCTTTGCAGCTTTCAGCATTGGATTAAATTATTTATTATATTATTTCGTTTGTTTTGTAGCAGAAATATTATTTATTAAAGGGGTGGTCCAGAATGTTATTTTTAAGGCTTGGTTGTGTTAATAAGATGCAAAGCAATGTGTGCTCATGTTTAACTTGAAGGAAATCGTGTTATTTTTTCATAAATCTCACTTTGATTATACACAGCTACTCAGCTAACATGAAAACGACTGTCATATTTCCTAGTTTCTCTAAAAGGCCCACCCTCAAGTGACTCTGATTGGTCATCATCATAATATGCTGTGATTCGCCGATCGGCTCCACGTCACGCCCTGACAAGCACGCGCGTTTTGTGTAAACAGTCAGTCAGTCAGTCAGTCAGTCAACACGTGTCTGTAACGAGTGAAAATGGGATGCGGCTCCTTTAACTGTTTCTGTGCCTTTTAGTGTGTTTATGCGTGTATACGATGAAGTAACGTAGACTAACCATGTTCCGTACACTTTTTGCTATTCAGCGCACTCAAACGACGACTCCTCCGTCATTGAAAGCCAGATAAGCATGCTTGTGTGTTCATTCTCTGGGGGAATACCTATTGCACATTCCAAATCTTGATTGATGTCTTTTGGACCAGTAGTTTTTGAGAAAAGATGGGATAAGTACCGCCTTCGCATGTGTACGGAAGATGATAGGTATTAACGGTGTTCCGTACACGACTAAAATAGTGTTCCGTACAGGGCGCATAACTTTAATTTGCTGGCAAAAATGGGCATTGTTTGAAGTCTTATTAAAATTTTATGTCAGAATATACTATTATTGTGTTTAACTTGAAGTTAATGATATATTAAATAACTCTTTTATGAAAGTTTTAAATGAAATAGCTTCAAAATCATTTACTTTTTATATCATGTTTATTTTATTACAGCATGACAATTTAAAATATTAAAACAATAAATTCATGCACATTGAAGCTAACTTGACTGACCTTTTATGAATATAAACATCATTACTGCAAAAGGAGTATCCAAACAGCGTTTGCAGTCTGTCTCTCAGGCGGAGAGTTGCGACATGCGGTATTTACCCACAATTGATGTTTAAACATCCCCATTTCAAAGCATTTATTCAACAAAAGATAATTTATTTAACAATTTGTGATAACATAATATTCACTTCATAAAGACTGGAATACTGTGTGATGCATAAATTAAATGCAAAAGCATATTGTCGGGGCTTTAAATGTCTCCCCTCCCAGGCGACACTCGCACTTTAAGCTTGCCCACTTTCTATTTTCCAGCGCATTAGGTGGACGTAACAAACTTACTGAATTTACTCGGCAACATAAAGTAGGAATGTCTCTGTTGTGGTTGGGGCTGAAAGAGTGAGAATTAAAGATTACACAGATATATAGCTTGCCTACGACCCATAAGTATTTATTCAGAGATTAACGTTAAAAGGTCGTCTGTACGGAACATCGTTGTGTACGGAATATGGTTAGCCTACGTTATCTGTAACACGAGAAGCGCATGTGCGCGGGAGAGATTTTTATTGTTCTTTTTCTCTCATGCTCGGATTAAGTTATTTTCTATGGTGACAGAATAAAGCACAAGATGTGAGATGAGACCTTTGTGAGCCTGGATTGATTTGTTTTTGATGTTACACTCCAGTTGGGAAATCATTGCTGTATTTTTTTTAAATCAACGCGTTACAGGACGTCTTTCATGCATATGCGGAATATGCCTGTGTAAGTAACATGAATCGTTCACATATCTTTTGCGACTTTATTGTCCGAGTTGTAAAACGCATAGCAAAGCTGCCTATAGAGAGAAACTCTGCCGTCTCCCACAGAGAGACGCAGGTGCTGGCCAAGAGTGCGTGTATGTGTATGTGTATGTGTGCGTTTACAGCCGTTTGATAAATATAGATTTGTAACGTTAGCTAAGTCGTTAGCGGTTACCATAATTTCCCGTTGTTTACATCTTTGCTACAACACACCGTTAAAGTTAGACACTGTACATGTCATGATCAATTTTAACAAATAAAAACACTTACAGGTCATGACTCAGAGTTCACAGCGTCTCCTTGCTCCATCTTTGAGGAGATTTTAACTGAATCCAGCACTGAACTGGGAGAGATTCTGGAAGCTGTGTTTTGTCAAATCATGCTTGCTATGTATTTTATAGTTCTCTGGAACATAATTAATATTGAACTGTAAGCACTTCTGTGTTTGGGTCGTGTCATTTGGAAGCCCAACAACAGAAACAGAACAGCTATGTGGAAACAGCAGGATGGCATTTCTCCCTCTGCAGTAACGTTACAGCGCCTCTGGCCACGGCCTTTACCTGCGCAGTGTGGGATGCGCAATAACGAACTTTTGTGATCTCACAGGGGGCGGAAGTATTTTTTGTAGTCCCCAAAATTCGTTAATTGTAGGCGTTGCTAAGCTAACTCTGTACAAATCAAGGTCTCCCTTTGCATTAAACTTTGAATATTTTACATTTAGAGATGCTGTTTATGTTCACACAGCTACATTACACATCAACTGAAGTTTAAAATATAATATCGTAGTGGACCACCCCTTTAAATTGGCATGCATATAAAACAATAGTACAAAATAAATATTTCTTACTACAATGCTTCATTTGTGTTTGATGCAAACCATCAATTTATTTTTCATTTTTCATAAATTAACAGTAGGACTTTATATAGCAGATAACTTGCATTAAAGCACATTCAAGGCATCATGATGATGAGAAATATTATTCATTATTAGTATTATTGTCATCATCATCATCATTAATATTTTATAATTATTCAACATTCATTTTGGAATTATTGCACAAATATTAAGTCATCACAGCATTAGTTAGATAGTTGTTTCTGGGTTTTGTTAGTCCCAATTGATGTTATTTTCAAATACAATAAATCCCTTAATATACAACTTGTCAAATATATCATTAATTTTTGGTGGATGCTCCTAATTTTTTTCTGGTGCTCCTAAATATTTCAGGTTGGGAGCACCGGTGCTACCAAGTAAGAAAGTTAATTTCGAGCCCTGTTACAGTAAATGCTTTGTTGTAATCGGTTTCCTCAAACGGTTTGAGTTACCTTAACTTTTTGGGTTTTACAGTTTACTAATCTACTTGATTTTAGATCTTTTTAGATCATCAGTTAGATCTGAGTAAACATCCCTTAGGTTATGCAAGTGAAATGATCTTCTGTTGACAGATTCGTGTAATGCAATCTAAAAGAGACATTTTCAGTCAGTGAGTCAATGTTTGGAGCTTAACATGACCCAAAAACATATGATGGCTTTCCACTCTGAAATCAACTTCCAATTCATCACAGTCTTCATCGGTTGTAAGTATTATGGGAACTGTAATTTCACAAAAGCTCATTGAGAATAGTATGACTTTTCTCTAAACTACAATTTTGATATTTATATCTGCTCATTTTATTTTTAGCCATGTTGCTGGTTGCTACTTAAAAAAAAGATAAAAACAAATAAGTATTTGGAAATTGAATCACATCAAAGTATCCAAGGACGATTTGTCTACCATGAAGGTAATTTTACGCCATCTGACTCATTAAACTTATTGGACTCACATATACAGTATTCCTCCTATCCAGTCAGCAGTCCTGCTGATTATAACTTTGCCTGTGTATGAACTCCATGCAGGCAGCGACAACGCTGTGATATGGACTTTGCTAGGTCAGCTGAAGGAAGGAAACAGCAGGTCCCAATGGGTCAGATCCCCTCCATTTTTAGGGCTCAAGCTTTTGTTAGGTTAGACGAGCTTGGCTGCCAATTGTTCTCCACCCAAAATCATTACATCCGCAGTCACTTCTGAAAACATCTCACATGGTTCATGAGGTTTCCCAAGACTCACTCGATATGAAGCGCACCCTAGTGGCCATCTAAAATCCCCCCTACCTCAGTTTCAGTATTATTTGCAGTTTGACTGATTTACAGTACACATTTTCTAACTCGTTCTTCTTTAATTATCCAATACAGGACATTCACCAAAACCTTTACAAACCTCTACAAATGCAGCGGATTGGAAGACCAGTATGACCTCAGATGAGACAACAGAACATCTTCAATCTGACACTGAGCTTACCCATAATGCGACCGCCCAATGGGAGAGTCCATCATCAGCATCTCACAGCATTACCAGCCACCATCCAGTAACAGAGACACGAACCGTGCGAGATGTAACAGATCTGATAGACATGGACACCACAGACTCAGTCTCCCACACTGATAGCACCTACATTTCCACAACCAACCGAGTTGGAGAACGCACACTGCTCTCAGTGATCTCCAACAGCACCTTTGCGTACACCCAGAACTCAAGCATCTCTGATGCAGAGTCTCAAACGTCCCCATGGGAGGAGAAGACATCAGGAGCCACCCAAGTCAATGAGGAAACTGAAGAAACTGTGTCAACAGTGTCCGAACAGACTGATCCCACTTTTGAAGACCGCAATATCACCAGTGCAACTCTGGAGACTGGGCGGTCAACATTATTCCAAGGCACTGAGTCACAGACAGGACAACCTAGTGTCACAGGACAGACCGCTAAGGAGGTGACTGATATCGACAATCCAAATTCAACACCGCCTCTCACAGTAACCAGTAGGGATGTTGAGGAAACAGATGCCACATCAGTGAGCAGTGAGACATCTTATACACAAACCAGCAGTGACTCTGCCTCCTCAATCTTGCCTTTTACTTCTAGTGAACGCAATGTCACTAGCACGTCCCAAGAGAGCCATAATTCCACACTCATTTATTCCACAAATACTGGTGGTTCCACTGAGTTTTCGACTGGATCAGTGAGCTCTACCGCCCATGAAGAAACTGAACGGTCTTCAACTCAAATAGTAGATGAGACAACCCTTCATGATGTTACTTCTGCACCCCCAGTGCTTGAAGATGTAGCCACAACTATCGATGACTCGCTTTCCAAGTTCCCTTCCGGCCAATCGCCTACCATCCCTAAAACCGATGACCAAACCAACACACAAGTGGTGCCAACATCAACTCATAGGCCACAGGTTACAGATGAAGCCACCGATGAGGTGTCTACAGTTTACAGTTCTACCACTACTTTAACTACCACAACTCCTTCTGTCACCACTAGACAACTCCAACCACACCACACCACAGTGGAAACCCAAACACAACACACTACCATTGTTACCACCGATATCATTCAGGTACTGCGAACGACACCTTCTACAGCCCATCATGTGCCTACATCGACTACCAGTGGACCACAGGCTCCAAGTACAGCTGATTCTTCTGACGTCACCACATTGCACTTGGAAACCAGCACAGCCACGCCGGGGAACACTACGGCGCACGGTGGACGTGCAACAACGCCTTTTAGCAAGAGCAGCCCGAGTAGAACAACTGTGGTAGTGACCACTGGACATCTCACTGACAAAAGCACTACAGAGACAGGAAGCGCAACCACGCAGATGCCTCTTAGAACATCAGCATCACCAGGTATGTTCAGCTTTTGCGATTTAAGCAGGGATGTGCAACAGTAGCATGCAAATTACGATTCATGTTTGTTGGTGTTATTAATGTTGCTTGTAAGGCTGATAAATGGACGTTATTAAATGGATTCAAAACTTTGGGGTCAATACCATTTTAGTTTTTGAAAAAGAAATATTTTTTAAGCAAATATGCCACGAATGCTTTGAGTTGACTTTTGGATGTTAGGTAATATGTCATTATCATACATTTCAAAGGATTTCCAATTCAAATTAATGAATTAAAGATGAATGAAAAGAATGTACCACAGTTTCCATAGATTATTACAAAAAAAAAAAAAAACATTGGTAAGAATAAAATTCAGCACAAAGTCAGCATATTATATACATTTCCTGACATTTTGTGTAAAATGTATTAAAATAAAGTAACAATTGAATACTAAAAAAAACAGATTTAATGGTACAATTGAATTAAGGCCTCACTTCATCATTCATTAATTTTTTTGTCGGCTTAGTCCCTTTATTAATCCGGGGTCGCCACAGCGGAATGAACCGCCAACTTATCCAGCAAGTTTTTATGCAGCGGATGCCCTTCCAGCCGCAACCCATCTCTGGGTAAAGGGGAAGGATCCGCAAAGGACCTCAAGACGGGAATCAAACTCGGGTTGCTGCGAGCACCTCTGTGCTATGTGTCGACGCACTAACCACTAGGCTATTGGCGCTGACTCACTTCATTATAATGCACTGAATTAAAAGGGATGTGCTTTTTAAAATTAGATTTTATATTTAAAAACTATACTTTTTAAAAGAGGCAATAGGACCCGAAGCAATAAGGTGTAAGACATGATTGGTGTGATTTGTTGCTATTTTCAGACCAGCGCAACCCTATTTTTCACGTTTTGCTCCTCGTTGTTTAAATAGCAATTCCATTTGCACCACATTGTGGACTCATGGGTGTGCGGGTCTAAAACAGAGGTGTGTTAAGGCACAGTGTTGGCACGTTGCTATTTTGAGACAATGAAATAGACTGCGCCATTGACCAACTGAAAGCTGGTTTGAAGTCCAGCACAGAGTGCGTTAGTTATGCAGGTCTAAACGCGTACACATTGCTTAAAACACACAGGATGTACAGCAATACACAAATATTTTTACATGTGAAAAAAATTAAGGATTAAAATATTACAAAAAATATTATTTTCTACATAAAGGTGACCACTAGAGTTTTCTTCATAAAACAACGCCACTTCCATGCCCTTTTAATCTCAGGGGGCTTTTTTTCAGCTTATTCATGACAATTTGCCTTTTGTATGATGTTATAATTATTAGCAGTATTATTTATTATATGCATATTAATATTTGTTTTAATAAAAACAAGTTTAGATGTGTCCACCCAGCGGGTTTTGGAGATGCTTCACCTTATGCGGCATAAGATTAAGACGTGTGTTTGGATATAACTCTTATAATCTTTATAACTTTTTTGACCACACTTGGTTTTTATTGTTCATTTATTAGTTTGCTGAAAATAAGAACTGAATTTAGAAATAGTTTTGAAATAAATCTTTGCGCTTAATAAACTAAATTTTATATGTAGGCTAATATATAACTTTAGTGGAGTGAGTTTCCATCGTTTCCTTACTCCACTAAAGTAAAGGAGTAAAGTGAAGAGTAAAAGTAAAGTAAATAGAAAGAAAAGAGGCCGAATGGAGGAGGCTTGTTCAGTTTTTCCACTTACAAAGTTCGCCATGTAGATAGCAAAAGGGTCATGGCATGACGCAACTGATTCTTGAAGGTAATGTGAGATGAGACTTTGATTGGTTTAAAGCACGTTATGCTCAAAACACACCCATAACTCATTAAGAGAATAAGCACAACCCTGTTAGACCATGCGCCAGGGCTCATAGCGTATGTTTTCATCCTTAAAATACCAAAAGTGGATTCGGACACCCCCTTAATGCTTTTATGCTTTAGACTTTGTGCGTAGATCGTTAAAATAGAGCCCATTACCTTGTATGAGTGTCAGATGAAGTCAAAGGCAACCTAAAAGTAAAATTAGAAAAGCTCAATTTGAAATCAGTAATATTGGCTTAAAAATGTTAATGTGCACAAATTTTAACAAACATTAATTATAATATTAATCGAGAAAGGGTGTGCTTTTAAATTTTTCACAAATAATCAATTTTCATTTCTTCTGTCATTTTTTATGTTATCATTGACAAAGTGGATGGATGTAGATTTTTTTTTTGGTTGTACAAATTAAAATTATATTGCGCATTTTTTAATTTTCACCTCTCACTTCATAAAAAGTAAAAATTAATTCTGTATATTTACATTATTTTATGATTTCATACATTGTTTGTGACTTCATTAGTTCATTCAAATAACTTGTGCACAATTACAACAACACTTTTTCCTTTTAGGTCATGTATGTGGACCTAAAACCTGTGCAAATGGAGGTCATTGTGTTAGATCAGCTGAAGGAAGTTACTACTGTCAGTGTCTCTCCGCATGGACCGGACCCTTCTGCACTGAAGGTAAGAATAAGCCCATTACATATCATTTGTTCACATATTACAACATGCCACAATATTCAGACTTTTGAATTTGTTCTGCTTGCATCAGTGCATGGGATAAAAACAAATTGATTGGTCTATGTTCATTTCTCTAGATGTGGACGAGTGTGTGAACAGTCCATGTCCTCAGGGTTCAGTGTGTGTCAACACAGGTGGTTCTTTCAGCTGTGAATGTGACCTGGGCTTTGACCTGGAGGATGGCCGCAGTTGTACACAAGGTATGTGGTCAGTATTTTAGAATAATTTCTGGAGAAGATAACAAACATAAGATAACTCTGTCTGCTTTGGTTTTACCTTGCAGTCAAGACATTTTTGGGCACTTTCACAGTCAACAACTCTCTTCATCTCAGAAATTTAGGTCTGCACGAGCTACACAGAGAGATCCAACAGCTGGTACGCAACAATATGCTGCAACTTGCATTATAAGCTCATCTAATGCTGTATAGCAACCATTATGGAAATGGGTTGAAGATGATAAATTGATGTTGATGGAGTTTGGGTTAATTTGATACATTTGTGTATTGGTTTTTCAGCTCAATGCTTCTCTCTCCATCTTCCATGGTTATAGACGCTTTACCCTGGGTAAAAGGTGAGTTTCATAAATGATCATAAACATAAATAGCATAAAAGTTATTTGATCTCTTCATATTGTGCCATGCAATTACTGTCTGCCTGTCCATCTATCTGTCTGTCTGTCTGTCTGTCTGTCTGTCTGTCTGCCTGTCTGTCTATCTATTGTTTGTTTGTTTGTTCGAACTATCATTTGTTCTATCGTTCTATCTATCGTTTGTTATCATTATATTGTTTGTTCTATCGTCCTTTCTATTTGTCATTTGTTCGTTCGTTCATTCCATCATTACATCGCTCTATCTATCATTTGTTCTATCATTATATTGCTTGTTTTATCGTTTTATTGTTTGTTCCATCGTTCTATCTACCGTTTGTTTTATCGTTATATTGAATGTTCTATCGTTTTATCTACCATTGGTTTTATCGTTACATTGCTTGTTCTATCGTTCTGTCTACCATTTGTTCTATCGTTTTATTGTTTGTTTTATCGCTCTATCTACCGTTTGTTCTATTGTTATATGGTTTGTTCTATCGTTCTATCTATCGTTTGTTTTGTTGTTAAATTGTTTGTTCTATCGTTCTATCTATCATTTGTTCTATCGTTATATTGCTTGTTCTATCGTTCTATCTACCGTTTGTTTAATCGTTATATTGTTTGTTTTATCGTTCTATCTACTATTTGTTCTATCGTTATATTGCTTGTTCTATCGTTCTATCTACCATTTGTTCTATCGCTTTATTGTTTGTTCTATCGTTATATTGTTTTTTCTATCATTATATTGTTTATTCTATCGGTATATTGTTTGTTCTATCGTTCTATCTACCATTGGTTCTATCGTTATATTGTTTGTTCTATTGTTCTATCTATCGTTTGTTCTATCGTTATATTGTTTGTTCTATCGTTTTATTGTTTGTTCTATCGTTCAATCTACCGTTTGATCTATCGTTATATTGTTTGTTCTATTGTTCTATCTACCGTTTGTTCTATCGTTATATTGTTTGTTCTATTGTTCTATCTACCGTTTGTTCTATCGTTATATTTTTTTGTTCTTTCGTTCTATCTACAGTTTGTTATATCGTTATATTGTTTGTTCTTTTGTTCTATCTACCGTTTGTTCTATCGTTATATTGTTTGTTCTATCATTCTATCTACTGTTTGTTCTATCGTTATATTGTTTGTTCTATCGTTCCATCTACCATTTGTTCTATCGTTATATTGTTTGTTCTATCGTTCTATCTACCGTTTGTTTTATCGTTATATTGTTTGCTCTATCTATTTATTTACCATTTGTTCTATCGTTTTATTGTTTGTTCTATCGTTATATTGTTTGTTCTATCAATCTATCTACCGTTTGTTCTACTGTTATAGTGTTTGCTCTATCGTTCTATCTACCGTTTGTTCTATTGTTCTATTGTTTGTTATATCGTTCTATCTGCCGTTTGTTCGATCATTATATTGTTTGCTCTATTGTGCTTTTTTATCTATCATTCGTTTGTTCTGTCTATCGTTTGTCCTATCACTATATTGTTTGTTCTATCATTCTTATATAATATATAATCTATCTATAGATCGATCGTTTGTTCATTCGTTCGTTCTTTCGTTTATTCGTGCGTGTGTGTTCGTTTATTTAATTCATTCCCTTGATTATACGTCTGGTTGTTCTATCGTTATATTATTTGTTCTATCATTCTGTCTAGCTAACGTTTGTTTGTTCGTTCTTTCTATCGATCATTCGTTCGGTCATTCTATTGTTTGTCTTATCATTATATTGTTTGTTTTATCATTCTTTCTATTGTTCGTTTGTTTGTCCTATCGTTATATTGTTTGTTCTATCATTCTTTCTATCTATCTATCGTTCGTTTGTTTATTCTATCAATATATTGTTCTTTCTATCGTTTGTTTGTTTGTTCTATCATTATATTTTTTGTTCTATCATTCTTCCTATCTATCGTTTGTCCCTGTGTGTGTGTGTTTGTCTGTTCATTATTTATTTTAGTCCCTCGATCATTCGTTCAATTGTTCTATTGTTATATTATTTGTTCTATCATTTTATCTATCTGTTTGTTAGTTCGATCGTTCTGTCTATCACTATATTGTTTCTTCTATCATTCTTTCTATCTATAATTCATCTATTCGATTGTTCTATCTATTGTTTGTTCTATCATTATATTTTTTGTTCTATTCTGTCTATCTATCGTTCGTTTGTTCGATCTATCAATCGTTCTGTCCTTCTATCTATCGTTTGTTCTATTGTTACATTGTATGTTCTATCGTTCGATTGTTCTATCGTTATATTGTTTGTTCTATCATTCTTTCTATATCGTTCATTCATTCATTCATTCATTGACTCGATTATTCGTTCAATCATTTTATCCATCACTGTTTGTATGTGTAATGTTTATTTATATATGTATGTATATACAGTCAAGACCGAAATTATTCAAACCCCTGGCAAATTGTGACTTAAAGTTACTTAATTATTTTTTTTTTATTATAAAGTTTACTTTGAATAACTTTTGTACCTTTTGTAGTTATCTTTTAAGTAAAAAAAATTGCTGGTTGAATAAATATATATACACACAAATTATTGCAGGTGCAGAATAAAAATACACATTTTATAATTTAAATCTTACGGAATACATTAATTAGTTGATCACTGAATAGCGTACAAACACTATAGAAGCTTTGTTTTATAATTTGATAACATATAATTAATATTACTTTTAAAAGCATAATAAATCAAATAAAAAATCACTATAGATGGAATTATTTCTAAACTGATACAATCATAAACAGATATTCTTATTTTCAATTATGTGTGAATTCATTGCTTTTTTTTATTGTCCTCACTTGTACTTGAATGTGTATGTCCTGTGCAGAGATGGACAAGGTGTGCAAATCCCAGTGGTGAGCATGTTTTCACTCTCCTCCAATGTGACCAGCGCGGATGTTTTCAACAGCATCCAGATGTCCCTTAACAACTGCAGCCGGACATACTCGCACTGTCCCATTAAACTTCAGCACCAGCTCTCCTATCACGGTACGCATTTATCTCTAATCCCGTCCCTCTGTTCATATCCACCACTTCACTTCTCCACTCAACAGATATGATAGCACCAGTCATGACGAACACACCGATAACACTGCCTTTCATTTGGCCTCTATAATATTATTTCAAGAAGCTCTGTTTATCTCCTGGAAGCCATTAGTTCTGAAGCACCTCTTTCTGTTTAGTGGAGAGCCTGTGCATGGCCCAGAAGACCAAGTGTGATGTGCAGTACTCAGATTGCTCGGATATTAGCGGGATTCCCAACTGTCAGTGCCTTCCTGGGTACTTTAAAAGGAACCCAGAAGACATGACCTGCAGAGGTACAACATACACTTTTTTTGTTTTGTTTGATTCGATAGTGTGATTATGGCTCATGTTTAAATGAATGCCTATTGCTATGTTGTTTTAGACTGTGGAGATGGACTCAAGCTTGTTAATGGCAAATGTGTCGAGTAAGTATATTGTTTATTAATGCGTAAACAGCCGCTCAGATGTTTGGCAATAAGATATTTTGCAGAAAACAAGTCAGACATCACTGCATCACAAACTGGGTCAAAATGGGGTATGGACCATTTCAATGTGGTCGTGCCATTACGCTTGAACAACTAAATGAATGTTTCAGTCTATGTAACAGATTATATTTTAATTACATTACAATACTAATGCTGTAGAAGGAACTTTACGAAGTTAAAAATAGTCACATAAACCTTTCACCAAAAGTGTATCGGTGGCTGAAAAATACTAGCCATGCATGTACTGTAGTCTATTGCATTGCTTACGAGGTAAACTGAGATAAATTGCATTTGCAATAGTGTACAACTTGCATTTTATAATTTAAATCAGATAAAGGGTTATAAAAAGTTTCATTCCCCTCACTACACACTGAATGAATGAATGAATGAATCAATCAATCAATCAATCAATCATTATTTCAATTAATCAATCAATCATCATTTCAATCAATCATTTTGTGGAACCCACTGGTCCTACTGCACCCAACCCGGTCTGAGCTGGTAACCTAACCAGTGATTCTTTGCATGGGACTCGGTTGCTCTAACAAGGAGGCTAAAGAACATGGCCTCCAGTGTCTGTTGCTAGAGTACCTTTTGAGGTCAGAGGAGTGAGGTTTACCTGCATAGCACTTCGCTAGCTGGCCTCTGTTACACTCAGCCCTCTAAACCTCACTCCCATCGCAGACGAGGCCCCACATGTAACCCACTGAGTTGGTCTGAGCTGGTATTTAAACTAGCGATTCTTTGTATGGGAGTCGGTTGCTCTAAAAAGGAGTCCAAAGAACATGGCCTCTAGCTAGCGTCTGTCACTAGAGCACCTCTTGAGGTCAGAGGAGTGAGGTTTAACTGCATAGCACTTCGCTAGCTGGCCTCAGTCACACTCACCCCCCTGAACCTTACTCCCATCCTAGAAGAGCTACCAAATGTAACACAGCAGTCCTACTTCACCAAACCCACACTGAGCTGGGATTGAACTGGTGATTCTTTGTATGGGAGTTGGTTGCTCTAACTACAAGGCTAAAGGCTATGGTTGTTAGCCACTTTGTTAGCTGGCTTCTGTTTTGTACCACACAACAAGCCCTTTATATTTAACTGTATTCAGAACAGAAAAAGGAATGAGATATATGACAATAGAACAACCAAAAATAATAGTGGCTTTTACTATGCACATTAAAGTCTTAACAAATTTGTTGAAATGTAGACACGTGATGCAATCTACAAAGCCCCCTTAGATTTCTAGTTAGGCATTAATCCAAATGAATGGCCAATTTGTGCTTGTTTTGCTTGCTTAAAGCTAATTGGATGAAATAAGTCACTTTGAAATAAAAGGTGCAGCACATTCAGGGTAAAATAATTGATTTTCTAAAAATACTTTAAACGGTGGTTCATTCCGCTGTGGCAACCCCTGATAAATCAGGGGCGAAGCTGAAATGATAGTGAGTGAATTATTGTTAGTAAATTCCATGAATTGCATCAAATCCTTTATTGTTTTTTTGCATTTAGTATTTGTTTTGTTTTGTTTTATTATGTATTTTACATTAACAACAAAGAAAAAAGCTAACAAAAAATCTTTTTGACCTTTTCAGATGCATGTTTGGATTTGGAGGTTTCAACTGCAATAATTGTAAGATTTAAATTTATACTGGTACTTATACTAAATATATATATATATATATATATATATATATATATATATATATATATATATATATATATATATATATATTTATACAACAGTTCTGTCTGGTTCTCGAATCTGATTGGCTGATAGCCGTGCGATATTCTGCAATATCAGTACTCCTACAGCCTTTTTACCCTTTGTGTATTACTCCGCACACATACACCCAGCAAAAAGCAGACACTACAGATCTAAAGTTTAAAAGATACTCTTAACTGTTTTAACAGCTGTTTAACTGTCAGCTTATGATTTGAATCCAAGGCGGAAGAAAGTAGTTCCTCATACAAAAGGGTTTTTGAGACTCTTCATGTTTGATTTAGTTTTTATATACACAATTATGCCGTCAAACTGTTGTATAAACGCAATATTACACTCGTAGCAGTGCGATATGGCTGTATATTGGCACTGGTGGAGGCACTAAGGCACTCGGCCGCAACGCATGCCTCCCACCAGTGCCGAAATACAGCCATATCGCACTGCTACTCGTGTGATATTGCTCATATATATACTTTAAATTATTAATAATTAAGCTGAAATAGTGCCATTATATTAATAATCTTGATTGTGTCTAATAGTCTATAAGCTGATAGCCGTGGTGGTCTCGCCTGCTGGAGGAGCTCTTCTGTTGATTGTGGTCATTGCTCTTATTGTCACCTGCTGCAAGTACGATTACAATAAAAAATACACAACCTCCATACTTTACAGATGAATATCTTGGGAAAAATTTAACAAAACCACAAAAATGTCTCAAAAGCATTTTTCACTGCATCCTCAGAAAAGACAAAAACGACATCAACAAGATCATCTTCAAAAGTGGAGAGCTTCAGATGTCGCCATACGCAGAGTTTCCTAAGAGCAATCGCGTGTCCATGGAGTGGGGTAGAGAGACTATCGAGATGCAGGAGAACGGCAGTACAAAAAACCTCCTGCAAATGACTGACATTTATTACTCGGTATGTAATCATGCACTTACACATTACCAGCTGTAAAATGATCTTGTAGTTTGAGATTTCACTGATATATTCAGTACATATGTTTCATGTGCTAGGGGGCGATAATATAAATGCATAAAGTACTCTTAGCTAGAAATATGGTAAATGCCTTTACTTTTAATGTGGCATTAAACAAACATCTCACTACTACAATGTAAATAGCAGCTAGTACACAACGTATAGATGACAACAATTTTAATAAATCCAAAAATGCTTAGACGTATATTGTACATAATCGAAAACTCATAGTTACTGGCTTATAAAAAGGCCTTGGATCATCAGATGTGTACACCATTTCAAGTTTTATTGCCAATGCAAGCACAGGCACGCTAACACAGCGGCATTATATATATATATATATATATATATATATATAATGCCGCTGTATATATATATCTATACATCAATTAACAGAATAACAACATGACAACTGTGATATGCATATAATCTTTTTAAACATGAGCTAAATAGCCACTCTCAACCACGCTTAAACACCAATCAAAATTTTACCTTTCCTAACAGACTGTTCTTAACTAAAATAACGCTATTTTAGTTTATTATTCACTCTAGGAAGACTATACACACTCAAGAAAAGGATTTTTTTTTGCTGCTTGCTTTAAACTACTTAACACATTTCTTGAGATTTTTTGGGACATCTTAATTCAAAGTCAAAGTCAGCTTTATAGTCAATTCAACCACATGTACAGGACATATAGAAAATCGAAATTAAGTTACTCTCAGACCCTAAGTGCCTAACATATAATGTTAATACAAAAAGTTGAGTTTTAGGGAAGAATTTACAATAAATACAATTATACATTAAATGTAATCTAAATATATACCAAAAATGTCGTCTAAATATATACATGAAATGTAACCTAAATATATACATAAAATGTAGTCTAAAGAATAAAAAAGAAAGAATAAGAATTTGTAAACAATACAATACAATGACAATTAAGGGCATATGGCAATGAGGGCAAACCAGAGTTGTGCTGAACATAATTGTTTTATGTTCAATCCACTTCAATTTGTTAGTGTAACTTAATCGATTTGTGTTGGGACAACTGAAATAAATTATGTTTAACTCTGCATTTTTTACAGTGCACTTGGAAAATGTTATTTTTAAGTAGAAAATCCCATTAAACATTAATGGTAAAATTGGCTTTGTAAAGCTGGAATTAAACTGGCATTTGATGAAGGCAAAAATAGCACTGTCAATCACTTAAATGTAATCTGATTCATTGCATAATGTTGTGATATAGTAAATCTAATCAATCTCATTCATTCATTCATTCATTTTTCTTTGGCTTAGTCCCTTTATTCATCAGGGGTCGCTACAGTGGAATGAACCGCCAACTTATCCAGCATATGTTTTACACAGCGGATGCCCTTCCAGCTGCAACCCAGTACTGGGAAACATCTATACACACTCATTCACACACACTACGGCCAATTTAGTCTATTTAATTTACCTCTACCGTAGTTTTTGGACAGTGGGGGAAACTGGAGTACCCAGAGGAAACCTACGCCAACACGGGGAGAACATGCAAACTCCATGCAGAAATGCCAACTGGTCCAGCCAGGACTTGTACAAGTGACCTTCTTTTTGTGAGGCGACAGTGCTAACCACTGAGCCACTGTGTCGCCACCTTATCAAACTCAATTTCATCAAATATTACATTTAACCAAAATTACCCCCCTTCCCCCTAAAAAAGCATTAATAGCTATAAATGTGGGAGAGCGTTGATATTGTGTGATTGTATTGTATTGCAATATGGAACAATTAAATGTTGATGTTAAATCAAAAGTAATTTACAAATACTTGAAAATGAAATGATTTAATGACAATAATTATCTATGGTTACAACTCAATTAATTACAAAATAACTGTATAAAATGATAAAATATGAAATGATAAAACTTATGATAGTAATTGTACTTAGTTTAAATGTAAAATTAAAGTTACCAGAGGTAGAAGGAGAGACACAGGGGGAGGGAGAGAGAGACAAAGAGAGCAGGCCCAGAAGTTAGCCTGATTGCAGTAGAGTCAGAGAAGATAGACTCCAGAGGAGGAGAGGAGCAGAGCAGGAGAGAAGCAGACCAGGAAAAGAGACAGAGCAGAGTTTTACACCTATTTTGTATCTTTCTTGACCATGTGACTAAAGCCCAAATGCTGAAACATTCAAACTGACCAATCAACATGTGACCACATCATAAAATCTCCAAAGTCCACATATCAGGCCCTGATCTTATCAGTATCTGCCTTTGGAGTCAGTATGGACCTTCATGAGTCAAGAAGACATGTTTTGCCATATAAACAAATGCATATGATAATTTAGTCTCTTACAACATGAAAAGCATCATGTAGATGAAAAAGTTAACAAAAAACAGGTTTAGAAAGAATTATATTTAGATTAAACATGGAACAAACAATCTTTAGGCTATGATTGCCATGTTATGTTTTTTCAAAAGGTGCAACTAAATTTGAGTTTAGCTATTTATTATTTATAGACCATTTTTTGCTGCTACAAGACAGTTTTGTTACCATTTGTTTTGTGTAATGTCTGGAATGTTAGGGTCAAATAACTGCATTCTATATATATTCATTTACAATCAGTTGAATGAAATGTAGGATGACTTGCTCAGGTTCGGGGTGGAGTGAGTGCATTAAATTTAACAAAAACAAATTGATCCATCTTCAGATAACTAATTACATTAATTCTTAAAAATAACAGTTCTGCTAAAAATGTATAAATCACCCTACTTCTCATGACCATTCACGTCCTGGTGCATTTTCCAAATAATTTGTTAATTTGTGACTGCTGTTCTCTTTTGTAGCCTGCACTGAGAAACTCCGACCTGGAGCGTAATGGTCTGTATCCATTCTCGGGCCTTCCTGGTTCAAGGCATTCCTGCATCTATCCGGCTCAGTGGAACCCTTCCTTCTTAAGCGACGATTCACGCCGAAGAGACTACTTTTGACAGCTTTACCCAGCAGGCATGCAATCTTGATGCTGCATGTAAGCTCTCTTGGCCTGTTGCAGATCCTGTAGCTCGATTCTGACCACTAAAGGCCTTTGAATGTGAAAATGAGCTGGCAGGAAAAGGCCATTATCTGTGAGACTGGATGAAAGCCGCAGAGCCCTGTCGGGGTCAATTTAGCATTCGGACAAAGTGCCACAAAAAGATTTTAGTATGGAGCTGATGAAGTGATGTTCTCCGCTCCCCACAGACCGCTTATTATTAAGCGCAAGTCAGCGAATTTAGACTAGACGGAGGAAGAATAACAACACAAGATGCCTGAGCTACAATCTAAATTTATATTATGAAAGTTTGCACTATGAACTTCTCACACAGATATTATTTCAAATGGAGAAAGCCATAAATGTATCATATTTATACTTGGAATGATTTACCCAGCTGGTTTGTACTGTGTTAAGGTTTTGTGAAGGACAAAATATCTGGATGTTTGTTTGAGTATGTGCATCAATAGCTGAAGAGATAATTTACCCCTAGATTTTAATTCTGTCATTATTTACTGTCGTACACGGATGTCCAAACTCAATCCTGGAGTGCTGGTGTCCTGCAGGCTTTAGCTTCAACCGTAATTAGACATCTTAATCAGCTAACCAAGCTCTATCTAGGCCAGGGGTGCTCAACCCTGTACCTGGAGATAGGAATGGCTGACATGAAACTGACGTTTCAACACCGTGTCCAGATCCCGAAACACTGCACTGAAGCATGATCCGAAACACCCAGGTCTCACTGGAAGTACTAGGTCATCCGGAGAAGTACTTCTCGCATACTGATTTTCGAATTCTTTGAATTCGGACATACTACTCAGCTCACATACTGATTTTTGCGTATTGCATAGTATGGAAGTATGCAGTTTTGGACGCAGCCACGATCTCTGCAAGTTAGTCAGGAACTCTCACCACTTCACTAAATGACTTGAAGCTTCAACTCTACAACGTGAGGTTTGATACCTCAATTTGGTTAACTTTTTCTTCGCTGAAGCTATTCCAGAGAAATACATAAAAATGACCACTAGGTGTCACTGTAGAGTGGGGTTTCTAAACGTTTCGAAGCTTTGAAACATTTGCTTTGACTGTTTCAGTGTTTCATGAAGCCTCGCTTTGCCCATCACTACTTGGAGATCTACCTTCTTACAGAGTTCAGCTCCAACCCTGATCAAACACACCTGAGCCAATTAATTAGGACCTGAACAGCACTGGATAATTACAGGCAGGTGACTAGGACACCCCTGATCTAGGCATACTAGAAACTTCCAGGCAGGTGTGTTGAGGCAAGTTAGAGCTAAACTATGCGGGAGTTTGGGCACCTTTGCTCTAGTAATCCTTTGTTAGGAGTTGTTTGTTACAAAATGTTCAGCTCTTTGCTGTAAAATGGTTTAAGAATCAAGTTTTTAAAGCATAAACAGTTGGAGTCAGGTCCTGATTTATTTGTATTATACAGAAGAGAGCGGTGTGAACATTCGTCAGAACATCTATTTGTTTGGAACAACTAGAGAGTGAATGTATGATGACATTATCCAAGTTGTGATGTATCAGTGACATATGGAATGCTGTTTCTGGGTCCAAGCCGAGTCTATTTATTCAGTTGTTAAATTATTTTCAGTAATATTACTCACTAATATGAAAATGATCATATGATTTACTTACAATACAGTTTGTAAAGTAATAATTTCTATCTTTTAGTATAGTGGTTCCCCGCCTTTTTTGCCTGAGACTCACTTTTCCCCCGGAAAATTATGCTTGTGATTCTTAGTAAGTCTTTTTTGACGAATTACAAATTTGTCCATTTTTTTTTTTGATCAGCCATAGGATGAAAAGAACTTTTGAAGGCAAAAAGATCATTCTGCTAACTGTCCACTGCTAATGGTAAAACTATGACGTGTCCCCCCACAGAGCTAGCTAAGGCCCCCTTGTGGGCCGGGACCTCCCTGTTGGGAACCATTGTTTTAGTAGATAAATGGTAGATATATTATAAGTGAGACTTGCTTTGTTTACTAAATTAGTGGATCTTATAGGATTTGCATTGTAAATATTAAATAAAAGTTAAATATGTATTATTTTTTATTTCATATATTAAGTTTTCAGTTACGACACACCCAAAATCATTCGGCATAAATCTGCAGAGTTTTTACAATATTTTGCGCAGAAATAAAAAAAAATATCGGCAGATTCTGTCTGGCCCTAGGCATATCACATATTATAGTGAATTTTATATAACAGACACCAATATTTGAACACTTTAAAAAACATTAATCACTTTCTGGCCATCTGATATTAGGCATATCTATATATATATATATATATATATATATGAAAGGAATACAACTCTTTGTAAATGTTTATTTGATGAGTCTCCTCATACAGTTTTATTGATGGCTTGGACCCGGAAGCTGCTTTGCAGTGGTCTCAAACTCAATTCCTGGAGGGCCACAGCTCTGCACAGTTTAGCTCCAACCACCTTCAACTCACACCTGCTTAATAGTCTATAGTAGTCTTGAACACCTTGGTTAGTTGGATCAGCTGTGTTTGATTAATGTTGGAGCAAAACTGTAGAGCTGCGGCCCTCCAGGAATCCAGTTTGAGACCTATGCTTTAAAACATTGTCGTGATTTTTATTTTTTTACTTTAATTTTTTTTTAAATCAGAGAAACATTGTGAGATTCACGCTGGAGAACTAAACCTGTGTAAAAACTGGTCGGAGTTTGAAACCGAATATTACTGGATGCAGCATTCGTGTGAAATGTAGCAAATATTGCCACAAGGTATTACCGGTGTATGAACTACAGTAATAATCATTAAATGCAGTGCTGCCTTTTAGTTATCTAATTTATTTTATTTAAGGTTTCCATTTCAGATGACGATATACTGTAGTATTGTTTGAGGATCTCTCTTAAACCCTCAGTGATTTGTGTCCGTGTGGATGGTTAGTGGTGCATGAGATGGACTCAACCTGCTACCAGGTGTCCATTTTGTTTGATCTGATGTGTGATCTTGTGAGATGTGCTGTATTTGTAATCTTAAATATCAGAGACTGCTTTCCTAACTCATTAGTATTTCCTCTGTGGATGGTTATTTCAATCTGGCGTTGTAGTCAGAAATGTATGGTAAAGAAGAAATAAAGTTTATTTCTCATATTTGTGTTTGTTTCTTATTTATTATTAAGAGTTCTAACTGTTATCAGATTTTCAACATTATGCCCATTTCATGTTTAGATAGTTGTACACAAGGGGGTGTAGCTAGTGGGGCGGTGGGGGGGACAGAGTGCATAGGGCTCTGGCAATTTAGGGGACCTGCAACAGTAAGTCCACCAGCCATAATGACTTGGGGGGCCCACTTAAAAATTTCTGTGCATAGGGCCCAAAAAAATCTGGTGACGCCCCTGGTTGTACACAAGTCCTACTGTAAATACTATTTTCAAGGAAAAAGTAGCCTCTAAACAGTGTCACTCATCAGTTGACTGGTATCTTTTTAGAAACTTAATTCTAAAATGCAGTAAATTAATAAAGTTTAGGCTGAAATGCAAGTTTTATGTGGTTTATGTTGGTAATAACAAGAGCAGCATTTTAAAACAAGTTTTGTGGATTTCTATAAGACTAATTGCTTCAAGGTTTTCCCCAGTTTGTTCTTTGTTTTTATAAAAACATGGCTTATGTGTGCGTACTTTTCTCAAGTCAATGGAAATTATGGCAAGATTAGGTCAGATTAGGCAAGGGAAGTTTTACGCCCTTGTTTTGCATGTTCAAAATCAAATTCATTTTGTGCAACCATATGATACTACGCCTATAACTTAATACTGTGTGCACAGCTAGTGTTTTTCAGCCAATGACAAACTTCCGGTGAAAGCTTAATGTGACCATTTTCAATTTCATAAGGTTCCTTTTACAGCACTCATTTTGTTGTTCAAGCCTAAAACGAGATGAAAGACAGTGTAACCACTAGCACTGTCATGATCAGCAGGCGAGCTCAGAAACTCCATTAAAAATACTGGGGTAAAATAAACTGTCATATTTTAAGGACATGGTGGGGGAAATGGAATTTAATGCAGTACTTCTGGTCTGAGACCCAGTTTATATAGTAAATCTATCAGACAGTAAAGATAACCGATTAAAAAAAAAAATTACTCAGACCTTAAATGTGGCAATTTTATGATGGAAAGACAGTTCACGGGAAGTTCTGAGGCTGACTGACTGAAATTAAAAGTTTGTGTGGAGGTGGCGTTTTTTAATTGTAAATACAAAATCTAAATACAACTAAATGATATTCAACTTTACAAGACTATAAAAATAAATAAATACAAAGTTACAGAAATCATCCAAACTAAAAACAACAACAAAAACAACGTAAAACAGATGACGTCTATTGCAAGTTGATACAAATACAAATAAATTAAGCATTTTTATTGTTTGCTTTAATTTTAGCCAGGGCATCTGAATATGTCATTTATAAAGACAATACGTATGGGGGGGATTTTTAAATATTTGCATTTATTAATAAAATATTTGGCTAATACAATGACAATATTTATCAAATCGTGCAATCGAGCCATCTTTTGTAATTCCGTATATTGTAATGTGAAAGTCAATTACCACAGTCAATTATCAATTGCACTGCTTTCCAGAACGAATGAGCAAAACTGCAAGTATGAAATATGTGTTATGTGTTGTCAATTAAGTGTTTGCATAAATGGGATGGTGAAATTTTTTTAATTAAATTTTAAGTGCCGAACCCCAGTAGTTTTTTTTTTTTTTATTTGAAAGCTCAACAACATTACAAAAATATAGAGAAAACTATAAATCCTATAACAACAAAAAATAGACAACACAAAAAGAGAAACAAAAAATTATGCCAGGGGTAATATAAATTATAATAGATCACTTTAAATTCATCTTAAAGGAAGGTCGCAGTCATGTATAAAAGGTCAAATAAAATACAGTCAGCTGGGTATTATAGAAAAGAGACAATACTGTAAAATGCATGTACAGTTATTAATTTTAAAGCTTTAAAGGGCCATGAAACCCCCTCGTTTCAGCAGGGTGTTTTCACACCTCTACTTTCGAAAAAGTCAGAAAAGTGGGCGTGTCCAGCTCTGTTTAGGGGGGAGTGTCGGAGGAACTAAAGTGGGATGGTGTGGGAGTGTCTATTTGTGCACGTGCGAGTTTCAGAGTCAAAATACACACCCACACAAACAGGAGAAAGCGATGGTGTTTAACCTACATGGACATCTGTAGTCGAATTATTTGCTGAATTAATAAATGTTGGACTTTAACTGCAGTTTGGCTCTTTCATTCAGGGAATTCATTCATGCCCCTCGCGACAAACGAGATATTTGATTCGAGGAACTGCTCTAAGCGTGTATTTTTCATGCAATGTTTGATACCGCACGGCGAATGAGAGAAAAAAAAAACTCCGCATTTCCCGGAAACTTAGATGCACACGGCAGGTAGCGTCAGAAAGCCGCGTGTGTTATTCCGGTCACTAAATGCGGTGCTAACATTTCTGCACTCAGTGCTATAGTTAACTTAATTCGATATGAACAAACTGAATAAACAAAGAGCACTGGTCGCTCACTTACCAAATCTGTAGAGACAGGACAATCACCAGCAACTAGAGCCGCGTCTTTATGGAGAGAATACTACAAGCAAATCCAGATTTCAGCGTTTGCAGATGAGAACAGCTCTCAGGTAAACAATAATCCTCCTTAGACACGTAAGTTATTGTTGTCGAGCGTCGCGTACACTGTTAATCCACACGTGACTCTAGCTGAGCTCTCACAGAGAGAAAATGAAAACGAAACTTAACGGCAGCAAACTATAAAAGCAACACTTCACGCTTGTTTTGCCAACACAACGTGGCGTCTTTGTGGTGTAAACACGGTGACACAAATGAATATTAATGAAGTTGCACAATAGAGCGCGCTGATTGGTTTGAACCAAGCCTTACTCATGCATTAATGTATCACACTGTAAGACGTAATAAGACTCACTCAGGCACAGACGCCCAGTCTGCACGCTGGAATACACGCTATTATGTCATGACTGTGACGCAGCTTCAAAAATTCGTTTCAAACCGGAAGTACGAATTTGCTTGAAATAACGCAAAAACAACCAATTTACACTTTTTAGTGAAATATAGGTGTCCTAATAGTGTTTTTAGCAGTGTGGGACACATATACGACTGTCAAAAGCTCAAAAAATGTGTTTTGGTGTTTCGTGACCCTTTAACATTGCAGGAGGTAGAGATTGTATTCAAATAATATTTAAAATCTTTACAAAATAATGAGAAAAAGGGGCTTTACAGACGCCGAACGCCACTAGTTGTCGCCTGTTGTGTAACGTTTTGACGTCATACAAGACGCATATGCGTTAACACGTTTGTTGCAGACGTTTTGGCCCCAACGGCCTTC